ACTCCTCTTAGACCAAACAGTGAACCAAGATGGCCGCTGGAACGCACCGCTCAGCGTGCGTTCCACTCACCGGAAATGACGTCAGGCGCATGGAGTGTGGACCGGAAATGCGTCAACGCGTTTCGCCCCTCCCATAGGGCGTTATCAAGGTCTTGATAACGCCCTATGGGAGGGGTGAAACGCGTTGACGCATTTCCGGTCCACACTCCATGCGCCTGACGTCATTTCCGGTGAGTGGAACGCACGCTGAGCGGTGCGTTCCAGCGGCCATCTTGGTTCACTGTTTGGTCTAAGAGGAGTTCTGTCTTTGTTCCATTGTGGATGTGAGAGTCCTGGAAGGAAAAGTTTGTATATCTGCTGGAACTGAAGCCTGTTATACATAATAAACATGCCTTTAGCAAGTGTTTAACATGTGAGTGGCCTTAATCTCCATTTGGTAAAAGTTACTATTGTGTGACAATATTATGCTATGTGAGTTTTTTTTTCTTTTGGTTGGATGGTGGAGTCTATTCGGAGGGTGAAGATTTTCCCTAGCGTGGCACCAAAGAGGGTTTAGGATCCCTAAAAATTCCTTAAAGGTCTTTTACTCACCAAGTTCTGGTGAGTGTATTCGATGTTGGTGTGTGCACTGGTGGAAGGTGAAAGTATTTTTTGAAGAAAAGAAGTTGGCACTTTTATTTTTATTTTTATTTGCATTTTTACTTCTACAATTCAATTATGTCTTCAGCACATGGACTTTTGGGTGTTTTTGTTTAATATTAAGGGGAAACACGAATAATTTATGCACTTATTTTATATGATTTATTATATTGATTAATGATCTAAATTTGCGCTGTTTATTTATATTTATATTGTTTGTGTTTTCACGATTGGCACAGCAGCATTTTTAGAGTGTTATTTGGAAAGTTTTGGCGCAGAAATAAGTTTTCTTGTATGATCAGCAGTGTTTGATTGCTCAGTTCTCGCTGCACAGCTGGCCGGTGACAGATGCTGCATCCACCTAGGTTTTTCATAAAGTCCATCTGTCACTGCTTGGTGACTTGTGCCTACAGGTAAGCTTATAATAACGCTTATCTGCTGGTACAAGGAGTATTTCCTAAATGTGCACTTTTTTTTTAGGAGATATTCACTATTTCTGCAGCTGGTGACGTGACCGGTAAATGCGCACTGCGCTCTGAAGGGACAGCATACTGAGCATGCCATCTCTTCAGAGCACTGTGCTGCAATCGTGGCTCCCGTGTGTATGCATGGGAATGACATCATTGCAATTCTGCCATTCAAATGACTGCAGCCCGCGAACCCAGAAGGAAGACCGGTGAAGATGGCTAGCGGTGACAGCATGCTGATGCTTCATTTTACAGGTAAGGCTTTCATATTGTGCTAGTATGCTAGTATCCTTCCTAGATTGTCAGCTCGAAAGAGCAGGGCCCTCGAACCCCTCATGTATTGTTTTGTTACTGTATTGTCTCATGTTCTGTCCCCCACTATAATGTACAGCGCTGAGCGAACATTTTGGCGCTATATAAATACTGTATAATAATAATAATACTAGCACATTATACCACTGATTTGCAGGGAAATGTTTTTTTTTCAATGGACTGTCGTACCGCTTTATTTCTCGTATGATTACACCCTCCTCTTGGTAAACCTCCAGAGCTCTCGCCCTGTGTGGTCCAAGTGTTGTGGATGTGGCCTCAGGCCTTGACGTCTATGCAGGAAGGATGAGCAAGACGACAGAGCCGGGTGGTGGTGAGGGTGCCAGACAGGAAATAAGCTCTCATTTTCTCAGCTGTTGCCTGGATAGAGCTGGTGCCTGGAGCAGAAACAACACAAACTGAACACAGCATTGCTGGAGAGCTTCAACAGCTTCCTTGTTACAGATGGCAAATTAAAACTATGTAAATGAACATCTTTGTAAGGCTGAAACAGTTTTGAAGCAGTGACTCTGCTTTTGTTTGGATGTAATATACATATCAAAGGACTAATAAATGTGAGTAATAAATGTGCTCATTCACATATGTAGTGCCCTCTGAAGGATGGATTGCTCTTCAGAGAACGTTTGGAGTTATATTGCCTCCTCGCTGCCTGATTTATCCCTGGAAATGTCTTACTACCATGCTACAATCATGTGCATTGCACAGGGTGGCAGAGCAGCCCCACAGAGATAAAGTTGACATTTTACACACGTGTACAGCCTTGAGGCTAGGTTCACATCTGTGCCACTGTGGATCCGCATGAAAATCCGTGCAGCCGCACCACCCGCACAGAGAAATGCGGACCTGCGGGCGGGTGCCATTAGTTCTAATGGCACGCCGCCCGCCCACTGCAAAACGCAACCGTACTAGGAACTGAGGTTCTCGTGCAGGCTACGTTTTCGGAAGAAGTGCAAGGGCTTCTTCCCTGCATGTCACAGGCACAGGAGTCCATTCAAATGAATGGGCTCTCGTGCCCGTGCAAAACGCAGCCCGCACGGCCGCATGTATGTGAACCGGAGCTAAGTGGCTGCATGCCCAGATTCAGGCGGACAGTTGGGAGGGTAAAAATTGGTCTTACTGCCCCCTAGCAGCACTGAGTGAAGCCTTACTGTAAAACAGTTGCTAATAACTTAAAGTGTCACTAAACCCACAACAGTAAAATCAGTCTGTATATGCAGTAAAGCATGTTTGTTATACTCACTGTGGAACCGAAGGGTTTTAATCCTCTGCACTGTGTAAAAAGGACATTTAATCCTGTTTTCTCTGCCCCTCCTCTTGTTCAAATGTCCACGTTTTATCTCCTGATAAGACAGACTGAACCCGTAGCCACATGCACATGCTCAGTTTAGTGTGTATTGCTAGATAGGTATTTTTTTTCTTGGGAGAATGCATGTGATCAGCACAGGGCCAATCAGCACTGTCCAGACAGAGGTTCAGGGGTTGTGCATCCTCCTAGAACAGAAAGAAAATTCTTCCTACAAGCTTTAACCAGTGGTCTGCTGCAGTTACAAGACTGCTTCTAACTGCTGATGAGAAAAAGTATTTAGCAGTTTATTTTTACTAAAATAATTGCACTTCCATGTTGTGTGTACTGTGGGAGATCAGATATAGTGAATGCAGGCTCCTGGGTTTAGTAACACTTTTTTTTTAAAAAAAATATCTTTTTATTAACTAACAAATAAAGAACATATGCACAAGAACATAAAACATTGGTTCACATATATCATACCCTCACAGAGGTAGAGAAGATCAATCACACATCCAAAAATTACAACAAGGCTGCATTAAAAGAACTCCAAGATGCTCACATGGTCGTCGCTACCAACTAAGAGATAAATGTGTAAATATTAAGTGTCCCATACTAGTGCACATTATAACCAATGCCATGTCCAAAGGACCAGTAGAAAATATAGAGATAGCTGGAAAATACAATATTGCCCAGGTTATGGCATGTCAGAGGCAGTGGAGGGTTCGGCCAACCATTTGGACCATACTCTATCATTTTTGGGGGCATCCTCTGTGCATATAAGTATCCTTATAAAGTGGAAAATTAGCATTAATTATCCACTTCCATGACATAATAGATGGGGGAGCAAGTTTTTTCCAGTTCAGAGTGATGACCTTTCTAGCGTAGAACAATAAGAGGCTAATCAGGGTGCGTTCAGCTACAGCGGACAGGAGATCACTAACCAGACCTAACAAACATACTGACATAGAAGGTTGTATGAGGACCGAGGTCAACGTATCGCACAAGGATATTACCTCCTTCCAGAAATCAGACAACGCTGCACAATGCCAATACACATGGGCAAAATCTCCCGGTGAGCCCCCACAACGCCAACATTCAGGGGAGTGTGATGAACTCATTTTGTGAAGCCTATATGGAGTGTAATAGGCCCGATATACTATCTTGAACTGGATCAGACGGTCCCGCAGAGAGACCGGAAAGGCAAATCCCAAATATCATCCTGGTGGTCATCATCCAATTCCGGGACATCCCGCAACCACTCCCGCAGGCCGCCCAGAGCAGGTAGGGAAACCCGTAACAGGTGTGAGTACAGATGGGAAGTAGGTTTCACTGAATAATCAGACAATATTAGTAACACTTTAAATAAAAAATTCTTCTTATACCTGCACTGGAATTGAAATATGTGACCATTGGTTTTAGTAAAGAATTATCAAAGTGGGACTGAAGTCTAAATTTGCTGGCGGCCAGAGTTTTTTGATAAAAGAGACTTAAGATGGCCTTGTTTCTGAGATCTAACCATCTAAAAGGGAGGGGCACATGATACAAAAGGTAATAATTGTGGGTGATGAGTTGAAGAGAAGGTAAAAAACTACATTTAAGGTGCAGTTGGGTTTTCAGAGATCCTCTAAAGATAGACAAAGCAGGATATAGCTGTAGATTGGGGTAAGGAGTTCCAGAGAATGGAAGAGGCTCTGGAGAAGTCCTGGGGACAGAGCACTAGATGATACGAGAGCTAAAAAAGAACGATGTCTTGGGAGGAACAAAGAAGACTATTTGGGTGATCTTTTGAGACAAGGTTGGTGCTATAGCTCAGGGCAGAGTTGTGAATGGCTTGTGTGTTGTTTAGTATTTTGAATTTTATTTGTTGGGCAAGTGGAAGTGGTTGGAAGAGAGGGGGTGAGGACATTGAGTAATTGTTGGGCCTAGTAGCAGCATTCATGATAGACTGGAGGGGGTAACCTTTTAGAGGTAGGCCAACAAGGAGAGGTTTGCAGTAGTTAATGCAGGAGTTAAACAGGGAGTGAATGAGAATCCCATTCCTGTGGGAAAATGAAGTCAAGAGACTTGAAGCTTAGTGCTCTGCTAAGACCTGTGCCTTGGGAAATAATTCAAATGAATGCAAATGTCCCAGTGCCTACAGAGGCCGTGTTTGTTTACAGGCCTTTAGGTTAAGGCAAGGTTACCACTATTCATTTACAGAAAAGCTGGACAAATGTCACCACCAGTGTACGTTCAATAATTAATATTCTGAAAATTGTGCATTTACTTTCTTCTAGTGTTTCAAGAAAGAGGCTTGTCTTCACACCAAAGACTCCTTTCATTCCAAAGTGACCAATGCATGCAAGCAACAGAGAACCGGGACTGTGGGGTAGGTTAACCAAGCTATTACTGTATATATTTGAGTATTTTAGACATCGTCATGTGACCAGGGTGTAACCCCACCACCAAATCACCAACTGGAAATCCCTGTTGCTATGCTAATAATACCGACAGCAAAGAGATCTGAATTGGCCTATCAATTTTTCCTTTCTCCACCAAATGCTTTCATCTTACCATTTGCTCTTATTGGCTGTATCTGAATCTCACAAATGTTTCTCACTTCTCTGGACTGACAGGCCTTCTCCAGTTAGTTCACTGGCAGTGCCTCAAATTCTACGCTGACTGCATAAGCCATGATGTATTTATTTCCTGTGTTTCTGTACTTGGTTAGTGCATCACAGAGTTCATAGAGCCATTACATCAGTGCCAGCCCCAAAAGAGTCTATTGTCCCTATTTTTATCCTAAAAGAACAATTAAGAATCCCTCTGGGCAGAAGCCAGTTAACCTTCTGGTTTCATTTTGGATTGTGGTTGGAAAACTGAAATCCTCAACCACAAAAACTGTACGAGTGAGTTATTCATCATATATACAGTAGATACTGCTGTCTAAAACCCACCCTGCACCCGTGCCATACAAACCAGTGGCCATCAATGACAAACACTACCTAGCATGTACCTTGGAGATTTCATATATAGACAACTCCAATCCTAATATTGATCAGTGGTTCCAAATTAATAATAACTACTGCAGTAGGGACTAGACACAGTAAGATACACCCAGCATCTTTCCAAATCACTGTTCTTCGGCGCTTTTCCAGTTTATTTATAACCATGCTTATGTAGTTATCACATTAATATTACAATTGTAAGCAGTACATATGCAAGACAGTTTCTAATCAGGGTTTTGGGATTGTGCGTATGTGGCAGAAGAGTTAGGCAGGCCATAAATGATGCAAATTTCTTTCCTGCAACCACGGGTTGCAGTTAAAAAAACGCTTAAAATCCCCATCCACACAGTCAGTGTTAATGGAGGAATCCCTCCCATGGAGCTATTGTGTTCTCCCAGTCTGGGACGCGGGGAGCTGTCTCTGCCAGGAGAACACAATGATTATTACTAGCAGCTGTAATGCTGGTAATGGTTGCATGCTAAAAATCTGACATGCTGTTTGTAACCAAATCAATCAATGGATCGACTTGGGTACAATCGGCCTGCCCATAGATGGATAGAATCTCGGCCTGTTCAGCAGGGACCAGCCGAGATTCAGTCTGCGGGATTCAAACCATCAATGGCATTAGTGTGATGCCAAGGACTTTGCCTGCAGTAGACAAAGCATAAGGCATGTGTATACAGAGTTTAAAATTTCTTGCACACTGAGTGACTATAAACCAAGAGACTCCTCCATTCACACAATCTGCGTGAATGGACACATCCCCGCCACCAGGCTATTGTATTCTGACAGCGGTGAGCACCAGCTGTCAGAATACCATAAAAATTCCATGGAGTCGGTTGTTTGCACTGTTCGGGTGACAATGTTTGGCCCGGATTCTTCGCCACACGTCAGTTTAGTAATCGACTTCTGTGAAGATGACTGGGCCACCCACTGTTAGAGTTTTAGCCAGTTCCTTTGACTAAATTCTAACAATGTATGGCCATCTTTAGTCTTAGTATCCAGTACAATTAGCTTGGGATCCAGGATTTGTCTCACTGCTGCCACATGCAGTATGGTGCCAAGTGTATTCATTACCACAACAGCGACCTACTGGTTAATTATCAGCAGGAGAAGCTGAGGTTTTGTTCTTAAAGCGGAGCTCCAATCAAACCTACAAAAAATAAAAAACTATAGCTGTTGACTTTTTAAAAACCACAGCTCACCTGTCCCACGATCCAGCGGTGTACTCACCACAGCTACTTTCACCGGCTGTCCTCGCTCCCCAGTGACAGCATCCTAAGTATGGACACCTGGCTTTGACAGCTTGCAGCTTCACAGCTGGGTGCCCACTGCGCATGCGCGAGTAGCTCTGCGCCTTGTGATTGGTCTTGTAGTCTTCTGGGACCTAGTAGACTACAGCAAGGGTTTGGGGGGATGACAACTTTTGCTTCCAAATGCCCTAGGCAATCACAGCAGGAGCGGGTACCTAGTCAAATTGAGTACCCACTCCCCAAAGGTGCCAGTTCCTCAAGGGGAACGGGGGACCAGTACTTAAAGCAGGACTTCCCCTTTTGGATGGAGCTCTGCTTTAAAGTGATTGTAAAATTTTTTTTTTTTTCTTTAAACAACATGTCATACTTACTGGTTCTGGGTAATGGTTTTGCACAGACGGGCAAAGGACCTTCTTTTCTGGGGTCCCTTGCCTGCACTCTAGGCTCCTGCCCTTCTGCATGTGCCACCACAAGAAGCTCACTCCTAAGCCAAGCTGTGTGTGTCAGTTGACACACAGAGCCCTGCTTGGCCATGCCCCCGCTCCCTCCTTTTGCTTCAACTACTTTAAGTAGGATGCATTAGATAACAAAAGGACCAATAAAATTCCTGTGAGGCCTGTGTGTGTGTAAGAAACTTACAATTTCTGGGCTACTTTAATTTATTATATTTTTTACCATAAGCAGTCTTGGGTAATATAGTATACAAGAAACTGTGTGCAGTGTGCAAAAATCCTCATGCTGCACCTTTATTGGAGTTTCCTGAGTGTACTGAGAGCTATTATGGCTGATGGGCAATCCAGTTATCAACTCTTGAGGAAGGCAGCAGTTTTTTGTATCTTCTAAAGACCAGTCACTGCTGCCCCTTCTTCTTGAGCAGGGTGACTGGTCTTATACCCGCCCCCTTCTGTAGTTCTCTGCAGATTCCCTGTAATGGGTAGGCCTGCTGGGTCCCTCCTACTGCCCCGCTTTCTGCATAGGCTATGTGCAGCCCAGTGATGGTGCCATTGCTACTTCTACAAGATAATATTTGGGTTTGCAAAAGTTTTTAGTGCACATAAAGTTCATTTATAGTCTTTTTGGCTATTGTGAAACTTTTAAAAGAAACATTTGTTCCTGGAGTTCTGCTTTAAATGTAATTATGCCTGTCTTGGGTGAAATATGAGGCTTAGATCTCTGACCTGCTTGTAAAAATGATAGTTGTCTGGTTGTGTCTTGCTTCAGTCAGATGTGATCACCATAAAAATATGTCTTTCTGGAGCCTGTGTTTTAGTAAATATCCTGATTCCTAACCCTTTACATGCTGTAGGTTCATGCTCCCTGTATACTATAAGCAGTCATCCATACTAGATAGGCCTGCTGAGATGAGACCCATGTTATATCAATATAAATTAACTGTTATCTTCTAGAAAATGTCAGTTTAGGGCTTGGTTTTGTTTTTCTTCACAAGTTCATGTTCTCGCCCCCCTGTGTTCATTCCTTCACACCCAGACTCTCCTTAATCCCGAGCATCCTCTCCGGGCTGGCTGCCTATTTCGTGTGGTTACCCTGCTATTCAGAGAGGCCTCTGGGTTTCAATGAATGTTCTTTAGTAGCGTCACCTTTTCCAGAGAGACAGGCCTGTGCTGCTACCACCTCTGCGCCTTGCCTCACTTCCTGCACAAAACACATGGTTTAACCCCTTCAATGCCAAACAAGACGTTTTGCAGGACCTCAGTAATTTTGTGACTTGAAAACAGTTGTTTCACCTGCAGAAGAAATGTGAAGCTGAATAATACAGGAGAGTATGGCGGCTTAGTGGTTAGCACTTCTTGCAGCACTGCAGTCCTTGGTTTGAACCCCAGCCAGGACACTACCTGAATTGAGTTCCCCCTGAGCTTGCATGGGTTTCCTCTGGGTACTCTTGTTTCCTACCACACGCCAAAGACAAGCTGGGACTGTAGGTTAATTGACTTCTGCCTATGTGGCCCTAATATGTGCATGTGTGCTTGTCAGATATGGACGCTGGTTCATAAGTTCCCATAAGGGCAGGGACTGATGTGAGTGTACAACATGTAAAGCACTGTGTAAATTGTGGTGGGATTAAATACCTGTAATATTAAAGTGGTTGTAAAACCTAAACATTTTTACCTTAATGCATGCCTCGCATTACGCTGAAAACGGATTAGGTTAAAGTATCACCTCCTCACACCCATTATACTTACCTGAGTCCTTACTCAATCCAGCACAGTGCTTGTCTACAGCAGCTCTCTCCTCTTCTCTCGGCTCTCACACGCTTTACGTGTATTGGTTCCTGCTGCTGGGGGCGGGGCAGAACCTCGCTGTCTTTGTCTATGGACACAGGCAACGGGGCTCGGATCTAGCACATAGGTGTTCCTTAATAAGTATGGTGGCACACAAAGAAGAGGAGGAGCTAGGAGTGACAGGAGGGGACCCGAGAAGAGGGAGTTTTGGGGCCTCTCTGTGCATTTTCACTGCATAGAGCAGGTAAGTATAATTCTATTTGTTATTTAAAAAAATAAAATGTAACTTTACAATAAGGTCCTTCACTGGCGTTGTCCCCCTGGGTTCTCCTGGATGCTAATCTTCAACAATTTTTTTTGAACGGCGCAGGATGACATAACTCCCGTGCATATGTGGAAGTGTACACTGGCAGTGTGCCAGAATGTAAAGCTCAGTGTACTTTCCACAGAGGATTGCGATTGTGCAGGTAAGTGTACTTTATTAAAAGTACACTAGAAGTACACTAAAAGTAGAAAGTTTACCTGTTCTCAATTTTTAATTTTTTGTGTTTATTTCCACTTCAGTCCCTGGTTCTTACTGATGCAATTTCAGATGTGACTTGGATCGCACTGAGTCGGTTGACAAAGGAAATAACATTGGTTCCTATGGAGCTTGTTCACATTCATGTAGTACAGCTGGGATCCATTTTGGCAATTGGGTCCTGTGCTTCATTGGTGTGATGCAGTGCAATTTTGTGGTCCATAGATTTGAATGAAAATGCCTTCAAATTGCTAATCTGTCCTATTTTCATACGATTCCAGAAAGTTTTCTTCCCTAGCACACTAATCACAGCTGTGTCCAAGTTGTGTCAAAATTGCATCAGAAGCTCATTAAATCGCACTGCAAATGCACTTGAAAATCGCTCTGAAAATCAGATCAAAATCGCACTGCACAATGTGAACCTAGCCTAAAGGGCTATAGCAACTGCCACTGTCTCACTCTTTGGCTACACACTAATTCCATGTCAGTCCAGCCCCTAGCACTCATATTGGAAGGAAGCCCGTACTGAATGATTCTGTATATTGAGAGCGCCTTTGGTGATCTCCTTTTGAAAGTGCTAGCTATCTGGCTATTCCTTGGCTTCAATACTTTCTTGAGGGACAGTTTAAAAAAAACAAGTATGTAGCCAGTGAAGTCAGAGCAAAGGAAAAACTGAGGCTTAGTTCAGAATAGTAAATCAGAAAGTACTGAAGACCATTGACTAGCATGATGTTTGAGCATCTGCTTTTTGGACGTAATTTCAGGTGTTTGTTTTGTGCGTATTAATGTATGTATTTGTGTGCACAATATATTTTTAGGGAAAATACATTAATATTTATGCTCATACACTATATTGCCAAAAGTATTGGGACACCTCTTCAAATCATTGGATTCAGGTGTTTCAATCGCCTCCATATCCACAGGTGTAAAAATCAAGCACCTAGGCATGCAGACAGCTTCTACAAACATTTGTGAAAGAATGGGTCGCTCTCAGGAGCTCAGTGAATTCAAGCGTGGTACCGTGATAGGTTTCTACCTGTGCAATAAGTCCATCCTTGACATTTCCTTGCTACTAAATATTCCACGGTCAACTGTTAGTGGTATTATAACAAATTAGAAGCAACTGGAAACAACAGCAACTCAGCCACAAAGTAGTAGGCCACATAAAATGACAGAGCAGGATAAGCGCATGCTGACGCGCACAGTGCGCAGAACTCACTAACTGTCAATAGTTAAAGACCTCCAAACTTCGGGTGGCCTTCAATTTATCACAACAGTGCATAGAGGGTATCATGGAATGAGTTTCCATGGCCGAGCAGCTGCATCCAAGCCTTACATCACCAAGTGAAATGCAAAACGTCGAATGCAGGGGTGTAAAGCGCGCCGCCACTGGACTCTAGAGCAGTGGAGACGTGTTCTCTGGAGTGACGAATCACACTTCTCTGTCTGGCAATCTGATTGGAAGTGCCTGAGTTTGGCGGTTGCCAGGAGAATGGTACTTGCCTGACTGCATTGTGTCAAGTGTAAAGTTTGGTGGGGGAGGGGGTTATGGTGTGGGGTTGTTTTTCAGGGGTTGAGCTTGGCCCCTTAGTTCCAGTGAAGGGAACTCTTAAGGCATCATAATACCAAGACATTTTGGACATTTCATGCTTCCAACTTTGTGGGAACAGTTTGGGGATTGCCCCTTCCTGTTCCAACATGACTGAGCACCAGTGCACAAAGCAAGGTCCATAAAGACATGGATGAGCGAGTTTGGGGTGGAGGAACTTGACTGGTCTGCACCGAGTCCTGACCTCAACCCAATAGAACACCTTTGGGATGAATTAGAGAGGAGACTGCGAGCCAGGCCTTCTCTTCCGACATCAGTGCCTGACCTCACAAATAGAAGAATGGTCAAACATTCCCATAGACACACTCCTAAACCTTGTGGACAGCCTTCCCAGAAGAGTTGAAGCTGTTATAGCTGCAAAGGGTGGGCCAACTCAATATTGAACCCTTCGGATTAAGACTGGGATACCATTAAAGTTCATGTGCGTGTATCTAGTTGCTGACCGCAGATAGCCGAATGACGGCTGCACTGCGGCCGGCCAGTTCTGAGTGGACGTCATATGACGTCCTCCCAGAACGCGCTCTCCTGCGCGCCCCAGGGGGCGCGCGCACCCGGCGATCTCCGTGATCGCTGTGTCCTACGGACACAGCTGATCATGTGATGTGGTAAAAGGCCAATCACAGCGGCCTTTTACCACGTGATCAGCGGTGTCCAATGACACGCTGATCAGAGGGAAATGCAAGTGCCGGTTCTCGGCTGCACTTTCCTCACGCTGTCAGATCGTGAGGAAAGTACTGCCGAGAACCGGCAGTTGTCAGAGTGGGGATCGGCACGGATGATCAGTGCCCTGATGATCGGTGCCCAGCAGTGCCACCCTTAAGTTCCGCCCACCTGTGCCCAGCAGTGCGCCCACTAGCTCTGCCCACCTGTGCCCAGCAGATCACCCACCTGTGCCCAGCAGTGCACCCACCTGTGCCACTCTGCAGTGTCACACACCTGTGCCCAGAAGTGCCACCTACCTGTGCCCAGCAGTGCCACCCACCTGTGCCCACCCACCTGTGCCCACCAGTGCCACCCACCTGTGCCCACCCACCAGTGCCACCCACCAGTGCAGCCCAGCAGTGCTGCCAGTCAGTGCCACCAGTCAGTGCCCAGCGGTTGTGCCAGTCAGTGCCGCCAGTCAGTGCCCAGCAGTGATGCCAGTCAGTGCCGCCAGTCAGTACCCATCATCAGTGTCACCTATCAGTGCCGCCTATCAGTGCTGCATATTAGTGCCGCCTATCCGTGACACCTCATTAGTGCTGTCTATCAGTGCCGCCTATCCGTGCCACCTCATTAGTACTGCCTATCAGTGCCCATCAGTGCCGCCTATCAGTGCCCATCAGTGCCGCCTATCAGTGCTCATCAGTGCTGCCTATCAGTGCCCATCAGTGCTGCCTCATCAACGCACATCAGTGAAGGAGAAAAATTACCTGTTTGAAAAATGTTATAATAGAAACAAAGAAACTTTTTTTTTTTTTTTTTTCAAATTTTTTGCACTTTTTTTATTTATAGCGCAAAAAGTAAAGCGCCCAGTGGCGATTAAATACCACCAAAAGAAAGCTCTATTTGTGAGAAAAAAATGGTCAAAATCTCATATGGGTACAATGTTGCATGACCGCGCAATAGTCAAAGTGCGGCAGAGCTGAAAGCTGAAAATTGGCCTGGTAAATAAGGGGGTATAAGTGCCTGGTAGGCAAGTGGTTAAAGGCAGGCGTCCCAATACTTTTGGCAATATAGTGTATGTGCGCATTCACGCGCATTTGTACATGCGGCATAAATTACTGACCAAAAAATGCAGATTTTACTTAATTTGTTTTACTGAGGAATACGCAGCACTTGTTTACATGCCTGTGTGCAAAGGCACATTGTAAATAATGACCTACATTTTACCTCAGGAAAAAAAACCCACTGCACTGAGCTTTTTCAAGCTGCAGTGTGCAGAAGGCCTTATGGCAGGCATGTCCAAAGTCCGGCCCGCGGGCCATTTACGGCCCGGGGGTCGGTTTAAATACGGCCCTCCAACAGCCCTCCCTGCTCTGTGTAATGTGGCCCTCCCACTGCCCTCCCTTCTATGGCAGACAGTCTTCTGCTTGAGAGCAGAGGGCAGTGCACATGCCTGACTGCGGCGCGTTCTCCCTGGTCTGTGTAAATGCGGCTGTCACACGGCCCTCCCTTCTGTGGCAGACAGTCTTCTGCTTGAGAGCAGTGCGCATGCGTGACTGCGCCGCGCTGGGAGCGTCAGAGGGCGGTGACGTCAGGGCCGGGCTTCCAGCGTGAAGTGTGTTTCTCTTCCCCTCCCGGCTGCCGAGCAGAGACTTCAGCTCCAGCTACCTTTTTCACCCTTCACATTAGTGCAGGTAAGTTTTTTAAAAATTTATTTTCAAACAATTGTGAAAACTCAGCTGTCAGTTGATCTTAATGTTATGAAATGAAAAGTATGTCGTTTGCAATTAACTTGGCATAAAATAATTTATTTGCATTTAATAGTAATGGTTCAAAGAATGTTCGGAAAAATGTTCGGCCCTCCACCATGTTCACTTCATCCAATCTGACCCTCTTTGAAAAAAGTTTGGACACCCCTGCCTTATGGGAATGGTTTAGCAGTGCCAGTCTCCATATTCTTTCAGTACAGGTTTTCTTTCAGCTTCATTTCACTTGCCTAATGTGCAGTCCAGGAGTCGGATGGTAGCAGCTGCTATAGGAGAATCGAAATTGGCCGACTCATAGAAAAGATTGGTCATGGAAGGTATCACATTTCAGTCTTAGTAAAGCTTTAACAGAGCTTTCTTTACAGCCTCTAGTTGGGTTTTCTACTTTTCATGTCTGAAAGGGTCTGATTTTGTAATGCATGCACACATTTATGATTATTGCATTCAAAGTGTATTTTGATTGTGTATTTCTGATATGAATATATTTCTCATTCATTTCTAGCAGATTTAAGATCTCCAAGGTTATTGTGGTTGGTGACCTTTCAGTGGGAAAGACGTGCATGATAAATAGGTAAGAAAAAGGGGGCATGGAAGCCTAGCAACAGGAGGATTATCTTATTGGGGTAAAGCTAAAGTTGGCCAAGCTTAGCAGAAATGGTAACTTAATGGCTTTGCTTGCTATGTAGACATGGCAAGTAAACACATTTTATCCATGTTAGTGCCTGTTAAAGCAGAGCTAAAGGCACACATACTTACCTTAGTTCCAACAGTCTGACACCTGTGAGGTCCCTCACATCCCGTCCCATTTTCTTCCTGGATTCTCCGGGTGCTGGTCTTCAGCTGTTTTGATTGGCTGGTTCAGAATGAGGTCACTTCTGTGTATGCATGGTAATGCAGTCATCCTGGCACACTGGCAGTGTGCCGGAATGTAAACTGAGCTGTGCAGCTAAGTGTATATTCCACAGAGATTTTGGATAAACATTGCATCACAAATGTGTTAAATATATACAGTTAGGTCCATATATATTTGGACACAGGCATAACTTTATTTTTTTTCAAGTATTTACCAAAAACATATTCAAGCTATAGTTTTATAATAGATATGGGTTGAAAGTGCACACTCTCAGGTTTAGTTTGAGGGTATGTACATCCAACTTGGAGGAAGGGTTTAGGAATTACAGCTCTTAAGAGTAGCCATCCCCCCTTTTCCAAGGGACCAAAAGTAATTGAGCAATTGAATCAAAAGCTTTTCATGGCCAGGTGTGGGCTACTCCTTCGTTATTTCTTCGTCAATTAAGCAGGTAAAAGGCCTGGAGTTTATTCTAAGTGTGGTATTTGCATTTGGAATCTATTGCTGTGAACCTACATCATGCGTTCAAAGGAGCTGTCCATGAAAGTGAAACAGGCCATTGTAAGGCTTCAAAAACAAAACAAACCCATCAGAGAGATAGCAGCAACATTAGGAGTGGCCAAATCAACTGTTTGGTACATTCTGAGGAGAGAAGAACACACTGGTGAGCTCAGCAACATAAAAAAGACATGGACGTCCACGGCAGACAACAGTGGTGGATGATTGCAGGATCCTCTCTATGGTAAAGAAAAACCCATTCACAACATCCAGACAAATGACGGGCACTCTCCAGGAGGTGGGTGTATCATTGTCAAAGTCTACAATCAAGAGAAGACTTCATGAGAGCAAATACAGAGGGTTCACCACAAGGTGCAAACCATTCATAAGCCTGAAGAATAGAAAAGCCAGATTAGACTTTGCCAAAAAACATCTAAAAAAGCCAGACCAGTTCTGGAAAAGCATTCTTTGGAAGGATGAAACTAAGATGAAACTGTACCAGAATGTTGTGAAGAAAAAAGTGCGGAGAAGGCTTGGAACAGCTCATCATCTAAAGCACACAACATCTGTAAAACATGGTGAAGGCAGTGTGATGGCATGGACATGCATGGCTTCCAGTGGCACTGGGTCATTGGTGTTTATTGATGATGTGACAGAAGACAGAAGCAGCCGGATGAATTCTGCAGTGTTTAGAGAGATACTGTCAGCCCAGATTCAGCCAAATGCAGCAAAGTTGATTGGACGGCGCTTCACAGTACAGATGGACAATGATCCAAAACACACTGCAAAAGCAACCCAGGAGCTTTTGAAGTAAAAGAAGTGGAATATTCTGCAATGGCCGAGTCAATCACCTGATATCCCAATTGAGTAAGCATTTTACTTGCTGAAGGCAAAACTAAAGGCAGAAAGACCCACAAACAAAGAGCAACTGAAGACAGTTGCAGTTAGAGCCTGGCAAAGCATCAGGAAGGAGGAAACACAGTCTTTGGTAATGTCCATGGGTTCCAAACGTCAGGCAGTCATTGCCAGTAAAGGATTCTCAACAAAATATTAAAAATGAACATTTAATTATGATTATGTTCATTTGTCCAATTACAATTGAGCCCCTGAAAATGGAGGGACTGTGTATAAAAATGGTTGCAGTTCCTAAAATGTGTACTTGATATTTATGTTCAACCCCTTGAATTAAACCTGAAAGTCTGCACTTCAAATTCATTTGGATTGTTTTGGTTTAATTTATTCTGGTGGCATACAGAGCCAAAAGTATGCAAATTGTGCCTGTGTCCAAATATATATGGACCTAACTGTAGGCCTTTCATTTCTCTTGGTATGGTGTCCTAAGATTGTAGTGGAAATGTCATTCCTAGTTTTTCCATGAACTGCCAACAGTGCCTTGCTAAATAGTTCTAATGGGTAAATTATCAGATAGTTCTCTTTTATCCCTGCTAATACAACTGTGCTATATTTTTCTGACCCATATCTATTAATAGGAATGAATGTCCATCAAGAAAAATTTAAGTGGTTCTTCACCCTTTGAAAAAAATTAAGTCAGCAGTTACAAATACTGTAGCTGCTAACTTTTAAGAAAAGAACACTTACCTGTCTAGGTGCCGGAAAATTGACAATTGGCTGTGCACAGCCGTCTGTGATTCCTTGCGGATTCACTGCCGGCTGCCCACTGTGCATGTGCGAGCTGTGCTACACCTTGTAAATGGTCTTGCAATCTTCTAGGAGGTGTGACGTTTCCCAGATTGTTGCGGACAGGGGTGAGGAAGGAGAACTTCTGGTAGAACACCAGGGTGATATGACAGGAAGTGGGAGTGGGTACCTGTCAAAACCAGGTGCCCTGCTCACCCCCCCCCCCCCCATTCAAAAACAGAAGAAAAACAGGGAGGAAGGTATAAAGCTGAAATTCCCCTTCCCCCTGGCAGGTTGTATTGTTGCCTGTCACTCTACTTTGAGAATTCCTATTAGTTGTTGTCCCTTTGACCGTAGAACTAGAAATGAGAATGGGTATCACCAGGACAGGAAGTAAGGCACAGTCCCATATATAATAATATATAATGGGACACAGAGCAGGCTATAATAATTACTAACTGGGTTATGCGTCACCTATATAGTGAATGGGAAGATCAATCAAACAGGAAATCCTCCCCTATATAACCCCTCCTATACAGGAAGTACTTCAGTTTTTTTTCGCCAGTGTCTGTAAGGTAGTTGGTCATTGATGTGCTGCATGTGCTGTCGGAGCATACTTAGAGGTCTGGAACAGTTCTGCTGAGAATCAAGAACAATCAGATCCATTTGAAAAGCTGTTAGCCAAAATGGATGGTACCCGAGCCTCAATGGATAAGTAGAACAATCCTTGGGGTTTTGCCTGTAATGCGACCTTTTTGGCGCTGGACCATGCGTTACAGAACCCTGTGCATTTTCTAATGACCAAGGCATTTTCTGGAAGGGTGCTTTACAGGTCCAAGAGAGTGGATCCCAGGAAAACATGGGGGGGGGGGTCGAGTCTTGAGGCAGGAACATAAAGGTCCAAGCATTGAATTGCCAGTGGTTTTTTCCCCAGGGTATTACAGAGTTCGAATTAGTGGCTGATTGTTCGGAATCTAGAGAAAGGGAAGTTTTCCTTCCAGTGATATGGAAGATAGTAATCAGTGATGCCAGTCTCTCTGGTTGGGGGGAGGCTGTTTTGGGAGGTGGCTATAGTTCAGAGGACTTGGTCTCCACAGGAGAGAATGCTGCCTATCAATATCTTGGAACTTTGGGCAGTACACCTTGTTCTGGATTATTGGACGAACCAGTGGCACAGGTTTTTTTTCAGGGTTCCGTCTGACAATGCCACAGTAGTGGCATATATCAACCACCAGCGCGGCATCAGGAGTCGTGCGGTTCAGGTAAAGGTGAATCACATTCTGTCTGGGGCAGAACAGCATGTGCCGTCTCTCCCTGCAAAACATATTCCAGGTACAGAAAACTGGCAGGGGTTTTTTTCCCAGTCAGTGGCTAATACCTGAACAGTGGTCACTGCATCCAGAGACATTCTCAGCAATTTGCCAGTATTGTAGAACTCAGGATGTAGATCTACTGGCTTCCAGGGTCTACAGTGTATTGGACAGGTGGTGTTCAGGATGAGAGTCCCACTCGCAATAGAGGTAGAGGCACTAGTAACACCTAAGGGACCAGTTCTCCCAAATCTATGCCTTCCCCCGATTCAACTATTGCTGTATCTTTGCACAGGATCTGGGAGGTGGTAACACTGATTAAAGTGGTAGCCTGGCCTAGCCCAGGATGGTTTAGTACACTGACATAGTGAATTTGGCAAGTGGACGCTCCTTGTATACGTCCGCTGCAGCCATACCTTTTGTCTTGGGTCCAATAGTGTATCCTATTTTATGATCGCTAGGATTGAAGGCTTGGCTATTGAAGCCCAGGTCTGGATGGTTCAAGGGCTCTTGGGTCCTGTTTTATCTGCACTGTTGAGCGCCAGGGAACCGGCTTCAGGGAGCTTCCATTACAGGACCTGGAAATCTTATTTGCCTGGTGTAAAGCTAGGAAGTGGCACCTGCGGAAATATGTGACTGAAAGGTTTTTTTTCTCCTTTCTCTAATCAGGAGGGGAAATTAAATTGGCCCCAAGTACCAAGGGTCAGATTTCGGCTCTATCCATTTTTTTCCCAGAGACCATTTGTTTCTCACTCCTTTATTTGTACTTTGTGTAGGGTGTCGGACAGTCCTGCCTATCAGGCCATCCTTGTGTCCTTGGGACTTAAACTTGGTCCTGGCTGCCCTTGCAGAAGCCACCTTTTGACCCAATTGGAGAAACTCCATTAGTTCTTTGACTCGCAAGGTGGCTTCTTTGGTTATTATCACTTTAGCAAGAAGAGTGTCAGAGCTAGCAGCTCTTTCATGTAAGGAGCTGTTATTGGTCTTGTATCATGATAAGGTGATGTTGCATCCTCATCCATCTTTCTTGCCTAGAGTGGTTTCTAGTTTTCATTTGAATCAAGACAATATCTTGCCTTTCTTTTTTTTTCCTAGTCCACAGGAGAAAGATCTCTTCATACTCTGGTTGTAGTTCGGGCGGTCGAGATTTACTTGGGTTTGTTGGTACAGGTCAGGAATCCTGGTTTGTGCTGCCAGAAGGGACCAGGATGGGCAGGCGGCATCCAGGTCAACTATTTTTCATTGGATCTGCTAGTTAATCATTCAAGCCTATGGTTTGAAAGGGCAAGGTTCAGGTGAGAGTGCACTACAAGAAGTGTAGAGCCTCTTGGGCAATTCGCCATCAGACGTCAGTGACTCAGGTTTGCAAGACACACCTGGTCTTTTGTGTATACATTCACAAGGTTCTACCAAGTGGATGTTAGAGCAACAGAAAAATGCTGCCTTAGCTGCAATGTGTTGCAGATGGCAGAAATGGCCCTTGGACAGATGACGATGTCTGGAATTTGTGTCTCGCTCCCCTCAAATGTATTGCTTTGGAACATCCCAGATAATGAATATAGCCTGCTCTGTGTGCCATGATGTACGATAAAGAAAATTGGATTTTTTTCTACATAGTTACCTGTAAAATCCATTTCTTGGAGTACATCAAGGGACACAGTGGTCCCTCCACTCTTTTTGGAATTTCATTGCTTGCTACAAAACTAAAGTACTTCCTGTATAGGAGGAGTTATATAGGGGAGGACGTCCTGTTTGATTGATCTGCCAGCGTCCATTCACCTATAGGTGGTGCATAACCCAGATAGAAATGATTATAGCCTGCTCTGTGTCTGATGTACCCCAAGAAAAGGATTTTACAGGTAAGTATGTAGAAAAAATTTAATTGTTTGGAATTGTGCTTGGATCAGCACTTACAGTATGGATAGGCCCTGGTTTTCAAATGTAATAAGCTGGCACAACTGATGGAATATTTCTACTCTGTTGCTATGTCAGCTCATATTGTTTGGTGGCTTTATCTGTTCTATGTTCCTTTTTATAGGTTCTGTAAAGATGTATTTGATAAAAACTACAAAGCGACAATCGGAGTGGATTTTGAGATGGAGAGATTTGAGGTCCTGGGAGTTCCCTTCAGTTTACAGTTGTAAGTAGTACGAAATATTGGTAAAACTTGTTTCACTTTAAATTTTAAAGCGCTTCTTTGTCCTGTTTGAAAAAAATTAAAAGTCAGCAGCTGCAAATACTGTAACTGCTGACGTTTAATAAAAGTTCACTCACCAGTCCAGGGGTCCTCACCCATTCTCACTCAAACCTATTCTTCACCGCTCAACTAGCTATGGAAGCCATCATACTTCTCTCAGAACAGAGTCACTTTAACACTTAAAGGCTAAGTTCATCTTTTGTAAAAAAAAAAAACAACTATAAATATTCATGATTTTGCAGGTAAAAAAAAACACTGCAGCCTGCAAGGCATTGCATCTGTGATTAGTGGATCGTCGGTGCAATGTCAGGCTCCTTCAGACACTCAGTACAGCTGTCTGCATGTACTTCCCATACAGGCAGACAGTTACTGAAGTGCAGGAAAAGTCAATGAAATACAAGGGCACTCATCAGCTCCTTCCTAGTTCATTAAAAACTGAAAGCCATCTGCTATAGTGGCAGATGGGACTTGTAGTTCATTCATTCACAGATTGCTGTAAATGATTGACATAGCTGTGTGGCAGGGGGAGGAGTCGGCTGCTGCCGAGTTACATATTATGCACTAAATACAAGTGTAACATGTTACAAAAAGGTGAACTTATCCTTTAAAGCAGAACTAAACTCATCCATTTTACTGTTTCCCAAAACAGTTACATTCAAGGCTTGCTGTAAATGATAACTATCACAGTTGCTTGCTCTATCAACTGAACTGTCAAGCCATCAAATGGCTGGTGTCATAACTGACACATGTGCAGCACCATGGACACTGCAAGTCTAAAAGAAGCTAAGATAGCAGCTTCCTGAGCTGTAAAGGCTAGGAGGGTTTAGTTCCGCTTTAACCATCCTCTCTAACATTCTAAGGAGTCTGTTTATAAATGGTTTCACACAATATTCACACAATGTTTACCTAGGATTCATACAGTACATTCATTTAAATTAGAAAAATGTGCGAATCTTGTGGGAATGTTACATAAATCTTGTGTGAAAAAAAACATACATTGGCCCCTTAATTGCCAACTATTAAACCCTAAAATCCAAACCTAAACCTCATCTAACATAACTCCTGAAAGTGGAACTTTACCATAAAAACTTGAAAAAAATGAATGTTCTTTATCAAGGAACACACATTCCGCATTAATAATTATGCTACCAAAATTACTGTGTGCTGTAAATTGCCTCAAGCATTGCTCCTGATTTTTCTTGCCAGAGGCTGCCATGTTGGTGAAGCCCAGAGCCCCTGAGCAGCAGTAAATCTTTAGGCTGTCAGCAGATTGGCCGCTACAAATTCTGCACAAAACCTAAAAATAGAGAGCAACTGAGCATGTGCAGAGCAAAGTGGGACAATGTATTACTGGATTTTAAACAGTATATGCTCTTATTTGTAATGTTTTACATACTGTAGCTATACCTGTAGAAGAGGTCAGCCTGAATTGATCTAGCAGAGCTTAATCTTCTGACTAATGTTCCACTTTAGCTAATCTCTAACACTAAATAACCCGTTATGTATACATAACTAATTCTGCATTGGGATGCACTTTATCAATAAAAACCCTGTCAAGAAACCGCAGTACACAGGAGTATATATTGTTTTATATAATTTTCACTTATTCCTTTTCTGTAAGTAATATTCATTGTAGGTATTGTGATGGGGGGTAGGCTTTACTGGCAGTGACAGCAGTAAACCATGCATGAGAAAGGGACCCAGGAACAGTCCAGGCGGGCTTGTTCTGCATATTTATTCAGTAATACAGCAAACACAGTGCCAATGCTGGAGGGCTTTGTACAGCAAATAGCATAGTATAAAACAAACAAAACATCTGCTTTTCTGAGTCACTTACTAAATATAAAGTGGAGTTCCACCCAAAAGTTGAAGCTCCGATTATCTGCCTCCCCTCCCCCCACTCCGATTTTACATTTGGCACCTTTTGGGGGGAGGGGGTACCTGGTTTTGACAGGTACCCGCTCCCACTTCTGTCTCAGTTCGCCACGGCGAGCCAGAAGTTTGCTTCCGTCCTCACCCCCCAGCCCCCTGGGGCATTTTACAGGTCCCAGAAGACTGCAGCCTATTCACAAAGCGCGATTCACACATGAACAGAAAGAAACCCGCTGTGAAGCCACAAGGCTTCACTGCCAGTTTTCCTTAGTCAAGATGGCGGCACCAGCACTTCACAGCTGATTGAAAGGTCAGAACATCGCTGGATCTCTGCACAGGTAAGTGCCCTAATATTAAAAGTCAGCAGCTACAGTATTTATATTTATTTTTTGGGAGGGGGGCCGGAACTCCTCTTTAAGTCAGTTAATGAATAACAGGATGCCCCCTAATGGGTTCAACAAAAAAAAAACAGGCACCTCATCTACCTTTTTTTTAGTGTCCTGTCAGCAGTCAGACTTTTCACCCAGCAGCCAGCTCTCACAGCTAAGAAAGTGAGAGAGAGACACGGGCATCAGTCAGCTCACATATAAAAAGGCCAGTGGGCAACTGAGATTAATAACGCAGTCCGATTACCCAGTAAATTCTGGACCTAGACCTGGAGACTTATTCCACACAAAGTTCTACAAAGCCCCTGGGCTCCAGGATACAGGACAGGAAAAGGTGAGAAACCTAGGTGACACATAATATACCACTCACAATCCAGACAGCCAGTGCCTAACAATATATGCATGATGTGTAATTCTGTTTATATAAAGATAATTTTATTGGTTTTATTTATTCGCTCATTTTATGTCCACATTTTTGACAGATTTGGCTATAGACATGCATAGCCACATCTTTAAAAACTGATCACAGGTATGGACCTAGCTTTCAGATAGTAGGTAATACATACTGCCTTACAATGACCACATATCCTGATACATGCAGGGATTAGGTGACCACATTTTTTTCCCCTCACATCTAGCATCCATTTGCATATGGCTTTCCATGCTGTTCACTTTATTTGGGGTGACTATTGGCTTAGGCCTTTGTGTGAGTCCCTGATTGTCCAATTATTATGACATTATAATGCTTACAGAGTGCTTTTACATTTGAAAAGTTCAGCTTTCACCAGAAGCAATAAAGAAAAGAAGGGAGACCTGTCCACAAAATTGGGAAAAAAACAGCAGCGCTTTCTGAGTGCAGTAGGTTGTGAAATCAAATTTATTATAAAAACATATAGCAACTCACAGAGGTAGTTTATAGGCTCGCATGTCACATAAAAGGCATCTTCTGCTGAGGCTTTTGTGATCACAACCTGATGAAGGAGCACGCATGCTCCAAATGTACGCATGCTATCAGATTGCCTCTCCACCACTTCTGCTTCTGGTCACGTCACCACGATCGGCGTCGGATCCTTCAGCTTGCTTAGAACACTGTAACCACCAGTGCGGCCAGCTGGGTCATGGATTGCCTTGCCTCCAGCAGTCCGGAAAGCCTCAGCAGGAGATGCCTTTTATGTGACATGCGAGCCTATAGACTACCTCTGGGTTGTTGCTATATGCTTTTATAATAAATTTGATTTCACAACCTACTGCACTTAGAAAGCGCTGCTGTTTTTTCCCACCTTTATATCCATTACAGAGGAGCTTCATCTCTGACAGCTAGCTGCTATATTCTGAGAGACATTTTTGTGAATTTAGCCAATATAAACTCTCTATATCTGACCTGTCCATATTGTACTGTAGTGATTATTAATATCAGTAAACTGTATTATACGGAAAAGTACACAAATGGTCCGTCCCTTTATTTTCATGGTGCTGTGTCTTTTCTTTTTCCTACTAGATGGGATACGGCGGGGCAAGAGAGGTTTAAGTGCATTGCCTCCACATACTACAGAGGTGCTCAAGGTATGCATTAGAGAGCTGTTTAATGGAGATATTGGTTGTGATATTATCTGTTGTGCTTTGGTGTGTCTTTTGTTTGTTTGTACTTCATGCAAATATAAAAAGAGTTAACTTAGGTCTCCTTCAGAAAGGCAGCAGTGCTTGCTGCCCTTTGTGGTGGATCGCTTTGCAGTAGGCATGTATAGCAGATGCTGACAGGCATCAAGAGGTGCTACATCCACCTCCTGATGCTTGGGTTTTTTTTTGTTGTTTTCTTTTTACTTTTTAGAATTGACAAAAAGCAGTTTTACATTACGGGACCAGGCCGCAACTGTGAGACAGGCTGTTTGACAATGGATTCATTTGTTTTGACAGGCAGTGGTGCCTGTCTAGCTCTGTGGTCCGAGTTAAAAATGCCATGGCCACAGCATGTTTACAGCTCTGTTAGGCTGTAATATTGGAATTTGGGTGGGCAGCTGGGACCTGTAAGACTGCTGCTCAGCCACCTTTTTTTACCCCCCCCCCCCCCCCCCCCCCCCCCCCCCACACACACACACACCTTCCGTCTGACCTCCTGTGTGAAAGAGCCTTTAGGGTTTCAATTTGCTGTTTGATATATTTAAGTTGCCGCTGATGAAAATTAACATTTCAGTTGCATCAAATAAGTAAATTTCCTGACATACTGGGAACTTTTCTGCTACAAAATCATTTAAAAGCAGCAATGTTTGAAAAAAAATATTAACATTTTAAATCTTAGAGAAACTTTCAGTGACGCAGTTGCCACCCCAGAGGTACCTGTGTATTTAAAACAGGATCCCCCTCACTCCTCTATCATGTGGGCAGGTGGCAACATGCCAGCACACCGTACACTTTGTCATCTTTCCTGCAGATACCAACCCACATACCTGATATAAAAAATATAAATTGTAACCCTATAAATGTTCAATCCCTGTGTTTAAAGCAAAGGTTCAGATCTCTCAATATGCAATCATTGTATATTCAATATCACATGCAATAATTTGCCATCTCAGCCTGGTAGTTTTTATTTTAATAATAATTCAATTAATGTTTGGTGAATTTTCAGGGAATTCAGTATCCTCCTAAAAAATATCAGATGAATATTAAAATAAGCACTTTCTGCACTAAAAAAAAACTGTTGTTGGTGAATGTAATGATTTTTTTTTCAGAAAAATCTTTCCAGGAGCCTTTATATCTGATCAGTCCTTAGAGGTAGTACAGTTGTGTTCAAAATAATAGCAGTGTGTTGAAAAAAGTGAATAAAGCTCAAAATCCTTCTAATAGCTTTTATTTCCATACACACAAATGCATTGGGAACACTACACATTCTATTCCAAATCAAAACATGAAGAAAAATATATCAAATTTGTGTTGTTCCTGTAAACAAATTTAAGAAAAGTGAATATTAGACTGTTCAAAAAAATAGCAGTGTTTGTATTCTTCTTTACAAACTCAAACATTCACTATATAAACTGAAAAATGTTTGAAGATTTTGCTTTCCTTTGAATCACTTAATTAATATTTAGTTGTATAAGCACTGTTTCTGAGAACTGCTGTACATCTGTGTTGCATGGAGTCAACCAACTTCTGGCACCTGTGAATAGGTATTCCAGCCCAGGATGATTGGACTACATTCCACAGTTCTTCTCTATTTCTTGGTTTTCCTCAGAAACTGCATTTTTGATGTCACCCCACAAGTTTTCTATTGGATTAAGATCCGGGGATTGGGCTGGCCACTCCATAATGTCAATCTTGTTGGTCTGGAACCAAGATGTTGCACGTTTACTGGTGGTGTGTTTGGGGTCGTTGTCTTGTTGGAATCCCCATTTCAAGGGCATTTCCTCTTCAGCATAAGGCAGCATGACCTCTTCAAGTATTCTGATGTATTCAAACTGATCCATGATCCCTGGTATGTGATAAATAGGCCCAACACCGTAGTATGAGAAACATCCCCATATCATGATGCTTGCGCAACCATGCTTCACTGTCTTCACAGTGTACTGTGGCTTGAATTCAGTGTTTGGGGGTCGTCTGACAAACTGTCTCCAGCCACTAGACCCAAAAAGAACAATCTTACTTTCATCAATCCACAAAACGTTGCGCCATTTCTCTTTAGGCCAGTCAATGTGCTCTTTGGCAAATTGTAACCTCTTCAGCACATGTCTTTTTTTCAACAGTGAGACTTTGCGGGGGCTTCTTGCAGATAGTTTGGCTTCACATAGGCGTCTTCTAATTTGATCTTCCTAGAGCTGATTCTTGGCTGAGTCCTTGCCATTTTGGCTATTCTCCTATCCTATCGAATGGTAGTTTTTCGCTTTCTTCTACTTCTTTCAGGTTTTGGTTGCCATTTTAAAGCATTTGCGATCATTTTAGCTGAGCAGCCTATCATTTTCTGCACTTCTTTATATGTTTTCCCCTCTCCAATCAACTTTTTAATCAAGGTACACTGTTCTTCTGAACAATGTCTGGAACGACCCATTTTCCTCAGAATTTCAGAGAGAAATGCACTGTAACCAGCATGTACAACATTTGCTGCCTTCCTTCCTTAAATAAGGGCAATAATTGCCACCTGTTTTTAAAAGAATGAATGACCTCACTAATAGAACTCCACACTGCTATTATTTTGAACATGCCCCTTTCAATTAGTGATTCAATGACACAGAATCAGCAGCATGCATGCCATGACTGTTGGATTTCTATTACTCTACTACACCTGCTAGTAAATTAGTGATGTCTGACTGCTATTATTTTGAACACAACTGTAAGTGCACAAAGGTTAAGTACATAAGTACTGAAAAATACCTTGACATTGTCCTTGTAATTTCCTGAGCACTGAACTGAAATCTCAAACAATGTAATCGGCCTTCCTAGATATTTCCTGTGATTACAAGGCAATGCCCCTTTATGTGATGCAGATGAGGAGAGGGAGCAGTTTTGCAAACACTGAATTTCAGTCTTTGATTTATTGTCTTTCAGCCATTATCATAGCTTTTGATCTGTCAGATATTTCATCTCTAGAACACACAAAGTAAGTCCATTTTATATGACATGTATAGTATAGTACAATGTTCTATTATATTAAAGGAAGTAATTTAAGGTGTTAAATTAACTAACAGGCAATGGCTGCAGGATGCATTGAAAGAAAACGATCCGTCCTCTGTGCTGCTTTTCCTGGTTGGATCAAAGAAAGATCTCATAGTAAGTATAGTGATGTACCTTTAATGGCTAGGTTCACCTTTTTTTCTAATTCCAGCTTCCCTTTGTATCAACATACCATTAATGTACATCTGTTGCAGAAAACAAAAAGCTTTCACTATATTCTAGGGCAGGCCTTACCTCAGTCTCCAGTTTGTTCTATGAAAAAGTCCTCCATTACTTCCTGGTAGTCATTCTGTGGGACATGAAAATCGTTAGAAGGAAGCACTTCAGCAGCTGATTTTCAGTAACACACACCCTGCACCCCCTCCCCCTCCAGGAGATTGCCAACCTCTGCAGTTACATGCAATCATTGTCAGTGAGCACCATCTTCCCTGAACACACAGCCAGTGTTTTCCTCTTCTTATCGATCATTTTCCACCTTACCTTCATCTTGTATAGAACATTCATTTAACAAAGTGTACCGTAGCTGGCAAACATATAACAGCCTATGTGGAGCAGAGCTGTAGTATTGAAAACAGGAGAAGTGTGTCCCTGGAAGTCTGTAAAACTCACCATACACTGTACAATCTGATACACTATACAATCTGATTTTACAACCTCCTTTAGATCTACCATCAACTATATATTGCAAGGGGACTGCCTGATTGGATACAGAGTGATTGGATCTAAAAGAGATTGTACAATCAGATTGATTCAGATTGTATAGTGTATGGCCACCTTTAGACACCTAAAATGAACTAGTCAAGCTTTATGTGCCATTAATTGTTAATGGCATCCCAAACGCAGAAGCAAACATGCATTTTACAGAATGAAAAAACGTGACAATTTTGGCAAAACATGCAAGCTGAAACTCAGCAAAAAGTCCCATAAGCTATTTGGATGCATGAAGGTCAGCCCATTGAAATTAATGCCTTATGAATGTCGTGGAAAAAATGTGCCAAAACATGCGCTCTCACTACCTTAGGTGTGAACGGGGCCTGGATGTGAAATTTGTGTGTTTACACAAGAATAGTGACAGCTGAGTGTATCTGCTCACTCCCTCTCATGTACTTGTATGGAGTTGGCCATGCACTATGCAATCTTATTGTACAGGCTCTGCACAATTTGTGTAATTGGAGGACCCACCTGAACAATCTATTCAATTTATATCAAATCAGACAGGCCATTCCACTACATAGCTGATGGTAGAACTAAAGGAGATTGTACAGTGTATGGCCACCTTAATGCAGGCCATAGACGGTTTGCTTATTGGCCAAATTTTCGTCCGAGAGAATAATCGGCCGATATTCGCACCGTTATTGGGGCAATGACGTTGGACGATTTTCGCAGTTCCTCCTCGTTTCTTTTATCGGTCATGCTGGAAAATTTCCAAAAAATGGCCTATTTTTATAAGCATTGGTGGCAACAGAACGGCTGATTTTTCGTTTTTCGGCCAAAAATTCGTCCGATAAACGAACCGTCTATGGCCTGCATAAGAGCGGATTCACACATGTGGTGCAGATTGAAGCTCAGGTTTCACAGCTAATTGACACAGTAGTTGTTCAACGGTTTAGGCCAGGTTTACATCGGGTTCAGGTCAGAATTTTATCGTGTTCACACATGTGTGGTTTAGAAACAGTTCCCATGAAAGTCAATAGCCTGTAATCCACACCTGAACTGGACCGCACTTCTCAGAAATCAGACAGGACTCTTTTTTTTCTGCACTGAATCCACACCGCCAGTAAACCAGACATATGAGACCAGGCACCATAGGATGCAATGTTATTTCACATGTCATGCGGATTGGATATGGTTGAAACCACATCCAATCCACATATATGTGAACCGGCACTAATGGAAGAAGTAGGAAAGTGGGTGGAAATAAAGGGAGGTGTTGTACAGAGAGGTGAACACACCCTATTCTGTGGTTGTATTTGTGGGCATTGTTCCAATGTAAATAAAAAGCCCAGTGAGGCATGTCAAGGTGTTGTCGAGCTTATTGGAACCAGGCTTTTGTTGTGGCATTGGTGCAGTAATGGCTTTTTTCTGGAAACTTGACCATGCAGCTCATTTTCGTTCAAGTATTATCATATTGTACCCCTTAAAAACAACCACACTGTCATTTTCCAGAGCAGCCTGTATTTCTCCTGAGGTTACTTATAGGTTTTTCTTTGTATTCCAAACAATTCATCTAGCAGTTGTGGCTGCAATCTTTCTTGGTCTACCTGACCTTGGCTTGGTATCAAGAGATCCCCAAATTTTCCACTGCTTAATAAGTGATTGAACAGTACTGAGTGGCATATTCAAGGCTTTGGATATCTTTTTATATTCTTTTGCATCTTTATAAAGTTCCATTACCTTGTTAAGCAGGTCTTTTGACAGTTCTTTTCTGCTCCCCATAGCTCAGTATCTAGCCTGCTCAGTGCATCCATCCGAGCTAACAATCTCACTGCCTATTTATACACAGACACAAATTGCAATTTAAAAAGCCACAGATGTGGGAAATTAACCTTTAATTGCCATTTTAACTTCTGTGTGTCCCCTTGTGTGTCTGTACCAAGGCCAAACATTCCACGATATGTAAACGTTTGATCAGGGCCATTTGGGTGATTTCTTTTATCGTTATGATTTTACTACTTGCCCTCCTGAGGATTTACTGCCCTTTCTAACCAGGCCTTTTTTTTTCTATACGGCACTGCATTACTGTAACTGACAATTGTGCGGTCATGCAACGCTGCACCGAAATAAAGACAATTTTGAATTTTTTTTTTATTTTTTGCTATAAAACATATCCAGTATATTCAGAGTGTGTTTTACGTGGGAATACATGCTGCATGTTACTGCTGGCAGGAGAGAGACCTGTGTTGTTTACACACAGGTCTCTCCCCTGTCACTGTTGCTCAGCGATCGCCGGGTGCCAGTGGAGAATCTCCGGCCGAGACCCGGTCTTTGACATCCATAGCCGCCAGTGGCAGTGTGGGTAGGATGGCGTGCATATCCCCTACCCAGAAATGCAAATCACACACACACACATATATATACATATACATACATCCATACACACACATACATTTACACACATGTGAGTTTCGCAGCCCTGCAGCAGTATTTCTGCTTTAGGGAGGTGGGCAACTGGTTAAAAAGCAGCAAAATATTGTGTAATAATGAACCGCTTCATATGATCACTATCCCTAAATAAAAGACAGTTTTTTGGCATCTTCAGTCATATTTTTAATATCAATGCCAAAATGTCAGGATTTCTGCCAGGGCATGCAAACATTTGAGCACAACTGTATGTTTGCGTCATGATTTTCAGATAATAAATAAATACAACAAAGGTTTAGAGCTCTGTATACAATTTACATCCAAATAATGCAGTTTGTGGTATACGTGAAATGTGAAAGATTCGTTCACAAAGCTCCATTAACATCAATTATTCGATCGGGACACGGTACAGCTGTTGTGAATGAACAGGAACAGAAGTTGTCCTAATTCTATATGTAGCATGTTTTCTGCAAATAGTGTGAATCCACTGTAAGTTAAAGTGATGGTAAACCCTCACATATATCCAGTGAGGTGTCTGGACTCAGGTGATACACAGAGATGAAATAAATCCTCCTACATGAGTTGTACCTGTTTATCTAGAGTCTTTCTCTTTCTCTACATCTGTTCAAAGTCCAGTTCACAGCTTGTCTGAGAGCTCAGAAAAAATGGGGCGGAGAGCTAAAGTTACACTCTGCAGAGCTCAGTGAGGAAAGCTCAGACTGTTGATTGGAGGGAAAAGACACCCCCCCCCCTCCACCCAGCACACAGGAACAGAGCTGAGTCTGTCAATCTGCTGGAGGTCCCTCCCTTGTCACCTTTTTTCTCTTGGTGTCAGGCAAACTTGTCAGAAGAGATTCCTGCTGATAACAGAGGAACAAGGCAGCAGACAGAAAAAACACTCGGTGCTCTAGAGACAAGTACACACTTTAGCGGGATATGCTTTTTTCATATTTCATGTCTGAGGTTTACAGCTACTTTACAAGAAATAGATACTCTCACTAGCAAATAAATCTTCAAAGGTCTGTTGCTGCCAAGCTGATGCATTCTTGTGGTACTCCTGCTGAGTGGGGCCCACTTGTCTTCCAGAACAATCACCCCTTCTGCACTCATTAAGTACAGTACTGTGCAAAAGTCTTAGGTGGGTTTTTAAAAGATGCAAACAAACTCATTTGCTACAGCCAAATATTTTAAATTTTGACTTCGTCCAGAGCACCTGCTCCCATTTTTCTGCACCCCAGTTATGTTTTCATGCATAGTTGAGCCTTGCTTCCATATCCTATGCACGAAAACAACAGAAACTGGGGCACAGAAAAATGACAGCAGCTGCTCTGGACTGATGAGTCAATATTTGTAATATTTGGCTGTAGCAGGAGGCAGTTTTTGGCAAAGGGCAGGCAACAATGAAAAATGTTGGCAGTTCCCTGAAAGTTTGGGGCTGTATTTCTGCAAATAGAGTTGGAGATTTGGTCCGGATCAATGATGTCCTCACTGCTAAGAAATACAGGCAGATACTTATCCATCATCCCATACCATCAGGAAGGTGGGAGATTGGCTCCAAATTTATTCTGCAGCAGGACAAGGACCTCAAACATACAGCCAATGTCATTAAGAACTATCTTCAGCTTAAAGAAGAACAAGGAGTCCTGAAAGTGATGGTTTGCCCCCCACAGAGCCTTGATCTCAACATTGAGTCTGGCTGGGATTACATAAAAGAGACAGAAGGATTTGAGGCAGTGTACATCCACAGCAGATCTGTGGTTAGTTCTCCAAGATATTTGGAACAACCTACCTGCTGAGTTCTTTTAAAAATTCATTCTCTTAATTGATAAAAAATAAACTATGAACACTTCTATTTCTGAAAGCATTCTTAATTTACAGCATTTTTCACACCTGCTAGTACTTTTATACAGTATTGTATACCTGCACAGTTTGCAGGCTGGGCAAGAGAAAAGTATGCTCCCCGCTGGGCAACACAATATAAAAAGATTATTACACAAATACGATGTTTATTGCGCACACAATAAAATCATACAAAGGCTTTAAACAGGCAGCGGTCCATCCCATGTGTTTCATCACTAAGGTGACTTTTTCAAGAGACCTTGAAAAAGTCAACTTTGTGATGAAATGCGTTGGATTGAACAGCTCATCTATGTTATTTGTTTGATGTTATTCACTATGGTGACTTATTTATTAAAAATACGTAAAAGAAGCAAATTTTTGGTGATCTTTCATTTATATGGGCAATAAGGTCTATTTAATGTAGAATCTGTAAATAACACTTTCTGTTGTGTCCTCTGTGCAGTCACCATCGCAGTACGCTCTCATGGAACGGGATGCAATAAAAGTGGCCAAAGAGATGCAAGCAGAATATTGGTCTGTGTCCTCATTAACAGGTACATCACTACATACCTCTATGCTCTATAGCAGCTGTAATTGTGCTTTTTTCACAAACTGATGGTGCCATTTACCCTCTAGTTATTAAAATGAAGGAGATTTGAATTTTCTTCTTTATGTACAGGGCCTGCAATCTTACCTACATAGTTGATTATATACAGTATGTTGCTGACTACAACCAGAATAAGTAGTGTATGTGAATTGTACCTTAAACTCAGGCCTGGCCTCAAGGAACTTACAATGTAACCACTTCAATACCGGGAACTTTCACCACCTTCTGCCCAGGCCAGTTTTCAGTGCTGTTGCACTTTTGAATGACAGTTTCGCAGTCATGCAACACTGTTCCCATATGAAATCTTTATAATTTTTTTGAGACAGATAGAGCTTTCTTTTGGTTAGGCTTCCAATATCAGCACTGGGTTTTTACAGTTTTGCTAAACAAACAAAAAAAGATTAACAAAATATTGAAAATAAAAAAGTTATTGTTTGTTATAAATATTTTCAAATAAGTAATTTTTCTTCTTCACTGATGTGCAGTGATGAGGCTGTACTGATGGGCACTTATGAAGCTGCACTGATGAGGCTGCATTGATAAGGCAGCACTGATGGACACTAATAGGCAGCTGATATGCTGCATTGATGGACACTGATAGGGCTGCACTGAGGAAAGGAAATGCCAAGAACCGGCATATGTTTAAATGGGATAAGAACCGTTGGACACAGCTAAAACACATGGTAAAGGAATGCTGTGATTGGCCTTTTGCCTCGGTCTATGATCAGCTGTGTTCAAGGGACTCAACCTTAGAGTTTTGCCACCCCCCCAAATTTTCATGTGAATGAACCCTAAAAGTGTTGCTGCCAGATGCAACTAAGGGCTCATTTACAGGTGGAGCAGGCGCTGCTCGTCTGCAAAGCAATCAGTGTGTACTTGACAGGTATGAGGAGGTGACATGTTGCCTCCTCACCACCTTATTTAAACCCATAATTGCTGTGCAGTGCATGCGATTGCAACACAGTAGTATGGCAATTAGAGGTTTAAATCAGGTGTGAGGAGGCAACACTGTGCCCGGTGATCATTGCCTTCTGCCATGTTGTTCAGGTAGGTTTCCACCTCTTTAGGATAGGTTCACACCCATGCAGGTTACATTTGAGCTGTTTTTGCATTGCGTTGTTGCCATGCTTTTGATGCGTTGTGTTTTTTGGGGGGAGGGTTTTTTCATTTTTTTTTATTTTTCTTTTTGCTAGACAGATTTAGAATGCAAAACACATAAAAAAAGGCAGCAAAAACACAATACATGCTTTTCTGCACCGTTTCCATTGAAGTCTGTAGAACCAAAAATGCAACATTTTGTGTTAAAAAAAAAAAGCCCAACGCTTTCCAAAAAACGCACCGGGTGAAAACGCACAGGTGTGAACATGTCCCATAGCAAATCATGTTAAATGGACAGTATTACGTTTCTGCAAAGCACGCTTAGGTGTAAACCTAGGGTTAAGGTTACCTACACCTCGTCTAGACCTATCAATTGAGGTGGGGTAATGCGTAGTGGCTTCTCTTAGGCAGTGTTAGTTGTAATTGTCTTATATGGCTTAGATTAGTTAGGCACTAGTAGCATCTGACTAGGGGTTGTGTAGCAATCAAGTTAGAATTTTGGGTAATTCTATACGCTGTACAAGGCACAAAACAAATTGTGGATTTCAGGTCATTAAATTTTTTTCAAGTTGTGCCACATTCATTCTGTTGTTAGAATGAGGTTTTTACTCTTTTGGGCGCAAGAAACAGTGGGTTAAAAATGTGGAGTGTCAGCATTGTCACTGGTAAAGTTTTTATTTTTAAATCAACTTTTTTCTTTTTGCTCTGTTAGGAGAAAATGTGAAAGAATTCTTTTTCCGAGTGGCATCCTTGACATTTGAGTCCAGTGTGCTGGCTGAGCTGGAAAAAACAAATGCCAGAAAGATTGGTGAAGTAGTGAGTAAGTATAAACCCATACACCAGAGTGGTTGGCTGTACAGTGGTGGTCTGTGTGCTTCTATAGATACCATTATTCCTCTGATTTAAAGGATTACTTCAACTTTTGATCAAAAATAATAAATGCACATTTTTTTGCAGGTAGAAAAATGTGCATTTATTATTTTTGGTTGCAGGAGCCTGTAAAGCATTGCACCAGCGATCAGCAGATCGCTGGTGCCATGCAGGTCTCCTGCAGACCTGTCATATCTGTTTGCACATACAGGATGTACAGGCAAGCAGATATAATAACAAATATTCAACTACCACGGCTCTCCTTAGCAGCTGTCGGGACTTCCAGTTCATTAGTTCACAGAACAATGTGAATGAATGACACAGCTGTGTGGGCAAAGCATGGCCGTGCTATTTTTAAAAAGTGACAGCTTGTATGGGGAACTTCTGTTGCAGCAGCTGCAACATTGGAAACATGTTACGTTCCCAAAGTGAACGTCTCCTTTAAAGGGCAGACGTGTGCTGCAGTGTGACCTAATCTGCAGTACTGAGTAAGAACCAGTAGGTGGCAACAGCGCCGCTCTGGTCCCGTTTACTCCTTTGGACTGTATTGTGTTGTATCATTTGATATTACGTTTCAGACGTTTTTTTATTTTGTGAAAGAAAAGAAACTCTTGATATAGCTCACAAGTAAACAGGAAGTGCTGTTTGTCTGTTTCTAGAAGAAATAAATATTATGAAAAATAAATATTTTCAAGTGTATCTAAACTTATTATTTTTTGTAAGTGTGAATGGAGTAAGGAGAGATTAGAACTTCTGGTAGGTTTTTATTGCCAATTGTGTTCTTGCTAGGGAGATATCCCTATAACAGGAACATAGGGAAAATGCCAATGGGGGGCACTTGACCTAGTGACCACTGTCAAAGAGAATTTTACAAAAAAAAAAAAAATGGCAACGGTCCCAGCCTTAGCAGCAAGGTGCACATGGAAGGGAAATGCATATCACAAAGGATTTGCAAGCAACCCTTACCAGTCAGCCTGCAAAACAACTAAGCTGGCCCTGTTTACGTTAAAAACAGAGGGTTTTGTTTGCACACATTTGCAAATACATGCGTAAGCCGCACTCCCACATCAAGGGTCCTCTGTATACTGCAGATCTAACTCTAAAATTTCCATAGCCTCCACAGTGGGAGCACACATATCAATGGATAGGTTAAGGACAGGTGTACCTGGAGGAGTCCATCCCTCCTTAAAAGGCTCCCTGGACGTGGGACTGCGGCTTACACATGTATTTGCAAATGTGTGCAAACAGAACCCTCTGTTTTTAATGCAAACTGTTGCAGGCTGGCTAGTAAGTGTGCTGGGATATCCTTAGTTTGCAAAGAAAGAATTTTACTTACATCGAAGAGATCTCATCACTTCTCATTTTGGGTCAAGACTCCAATGGGTCACTCACAGCAACAACAAAAAAAATAAAAAAAACAGGTGTTTTAAACATTCTCTATTCAAAACAAAAAGCTTTAGAAATACTTTAAAAAAAAAAAAAAAAAAAAAAAATTTTTTAAAGTGGAACTCCAGCCCAAACTTTTTTGTTTGTTTTAAGTGATTTCAGCAACAGGACAATAAATTAGACAAAGTTAAACCCAAGGAATACCCAGTGGTGTGTTCAGAACTTATAATCAGACATTCAGATGCTTCTCTTCAACTTTCTTTTCTTAGGCGTCACAAACAAATTTATGGCTCTGGTAATTTTTGTGACCATAACATCCAGCTTTTCATAATAGTAATAAACTGTAGAGAGATAATTATGAATTATAATTGCATTTTGGAGTGCCTTAATTTGTTTTTTGTTATTTTTAGGGATAACTAGCAATGACAACAACTTGTATCTATCCACAAGGAAGAACAAGTCAAAGTGTTGTCAGTGATGCAGGACAGTGAAGGCGATATTTGCACTGAACAGCGAAACACCAAAGTGTTGCCCATACACAAGAGAAGGATGAGTGCCCTGCGGTGTTCAAGGAGGTTATCCAGGGCTTGTTTTATTGTTATAGCCAGATATGACAAGAGCATTTTATCCTTATGCTGCTACAGTGGTCTGTAGTACATTGCAGGGCAAAGTGCTGCAATCCATTCTGAAAGGTTATGAAGTTTTAATCGTATATAGGGATACAGTACACAAAAAAGCATCAGCGGCTAATTATTCTTTGCAAATTCAAACTGATAGCCCAACTGCATCTTTCTGACAAATTTATCATTGCAAGACTGTGCAGTGAAATAAACATTACTGTTAGTATTTTTTTATCATCTGTGTTTGTACAACCTTTTATTACAAGCCATGGGGCACTGTAGACACAGATATGAATAATAGCCATGAGAACTGTAGGCATGGCTGAGTGAACCCTTAAAAAAGAGAAGTGTGGCCAAAGCTTTTATGACCATACTTCTCTTGTGGGTCACAGGAGTACACTTACTTTTGCTCTCCTGTGACCCAGAATGAGCTGACAGTAGGCTTTAGTCCGTTATCAGCTGACATGTTGGAGCCAGATCTGGAAAGATCCATATTAGAAATACAGCATAGCTTCTATTGAGCTTGATGATTCATTTCTCAGTCTCACAAAAAATATTTTGTCAGGAAGAAGGGTTACACTTTAGTGTTTGTATATATATTTTTTATATTTGTTAGAATTAAATAATTTCTGAGCAAAGGCTTGGGGATAATGTTCTCAGTAACATATAGCAGCCAAAATTAATTTTTAACTTTGTTGAAAATTATTCCTTTTTAATGAATGGACATGAAGAAAAAATTATAAATACTTAAATATGGATTAGCACAGCTCATTAAACACGGGAACATTGCAATAAAATCTATTTTTATGCTGGTTTTCACGGTACAGTAAAATTGTTAAGCCTCTTTGTTATGTTTGAACAATAAAATTTTATATCAACTGTTGTATGTATGTTTCAAAGGTTTATTTTGCTTTTGAACTTGCCTGTGCACATGACAAATCGTGGAGCCATGGGCATCTTCACACCCATTTTTTTCAAATCGTGTTGTTAGCCATAATATATACACTGCTCAAATAATTAAATGAACACTTTTTGATCAGAGTATAGCATCAAGTCAATGAAACTCCTGGGATATTGATCTGGTCAGTTAAGTAGCAGAGGGGGTTGTTAATCAGTTTCAGCTGCTTTGGTGTTAATGAAATTAACAACAGGTCCACTAGATGGGCAACAATGAGATGTCCCAATGAGATGACCCCCCAAAGCAGGAATGGTTTTATAGGTGGAGGCCACTGCCATTTTTTTACATACTCATCTTTTCTGTTTTTCACTAGTTTTGCATTTGGCTAGGGTTAGTGTCAATACTGGTAGCATGAGGCCATACCTGGACCCTACAGAGGTTGCACAGACTGTCCAACTCCTCCAGGATGGCACATCAATACGTGCCATTGCCAGAAGATTTGCTGTGTCTCCCAGCACAGTCTCAAGAGTATGGAGGAGATTCCAAGAGACAGTTACTCTAGGAGAGCTGGACAGGGCTGTAGAAGGTCCTTAACCCATCAACAGGACTGGTATCTGCTCCTTTGTGCAAGGAGGAACAGGATGAGCACTGCCAGGGCCCTATAAAATGACCTTCAGCAGGCCACTGGTGTGTATGTCTCTGGCCAAACAATCAGAAACAGACTTCATGAAGGTGGCCTGAGGGTCCGACGTCCTCTAGTGGGCCCTGTACTCACTGCCCAGCACCATAGAGCTTGATTGGCATTTGCCATTGAACACCAGAATTGGCAGGTCCACCACTGGCACCCTGTGCTTTTCACACATGTACTCAGGATGAATCTGTTCTCATCTGACATGAAAGGGTCTGGAGAAGCCGTGGAGAACGTTATGCTGCCTGTAACATCATTTAGCATGGCCGGTTGGTGGTGGGTCAGTGATGGTCTGGAAAAGCATCTCCATGGAGAGACGCACAGACCTCTACAGCCAGACAATGGTACCCTGACTGCCATTAGGTATCGGGATTTAATCCTTGGACTCATTGTCCGACCCTACGCTGGTGCAGTGGGTCCTGGGTTTCTCCTGGTGCATGATATTGCTTGGCCTCATGTGGCGAGAGTAGCAGGCAGTTCCTGGAGGATGAAGGATTTGATACCATTGAACGGCCCCACGCTTGCCTGACCTAAAATGGATCAAGACGCTTCTCCGACTCTTGTGCTGCTAGAGTGGAGAAGGGGGATCTCCACCTGCTTCCAGGGGGCTATTCTGCAGTTGGCTAATGACATTGAAGCCCGCCTGGTTCAGATGAGAGTGCCAGATAAAAGTCTAGAGAGTTCATGCCAAGCCACACTTGTCTCCTGCGGGGATAAGTGCTATAGATGCAATGGTGAAGCATGGTTGCAGAGAGAAGAGAATTAAGAAATGCTTTCTCCTACCTGCAGCAGACCAATGACTTTACCTCAGCATAGGCAGAGTCATTTGATTGAAGGTCAAGGACTACTTTTTAAATAGAATCTGTTGTCTTGAAAAATAATACATACATAAAAAAAAAAAAAAAAGGTTCTCGCAAAAACAAATATTCATGCTGGACACCCATTTCCAGAATCTTCACTATTGTGCACAGCAGGACTACCAAAAGAATCATATAAGACACAGTAGTGAGGAAGGAACCAGCACATGGTGAGTGAAGCAAGCATCAGTCCCAATTTTGCTGTGAAAGAGAATGAAGTTTCCAGAAAAGGGCAGTGGGACATGTAAGTATGACCAGTCTGCTTTTGCAGGGACAGAATCACTTTAATGGTAATGGCTAAGCATTTCTTAAAAACGAATACTATTACTATGTTCAATGACATCTCAAGAATTTACTTAAAGCGGACTTTCATCTAAAAAGTGGAAGTTCAGTTCATCCACTTTCCCTTTTCCTCCTCCATTCCTCTGCCAAACTTCCATGTTAAGGAGCAACATATTCAAAGAGGGGCTGGGAACCTTTTAGACTTGCATGTGTAGTTTAGGAATGAAAACCTCAAATAAGTTCAATAGCACTAGGGAGGCAGCTTCCACACAGCAAGTGTTCCCTCGATAGCCATCCAACAGTAGCTGCTGTAATACCATAGAAATAGAGAAACTGCTGTCAAATGTTTGCCCCATGCTGAGAATTCCATACTGGTTCTAATATAGATTGTCATTTTTTTTTTGTCCACCCAAGTTGAGCCCTGAAGGAGGAGGAGGAGTGGTGCTGCCCCTGAAACATATTGGCTGCTTTTATAAGACTTTTTTTTTTTTGTACCAACCATTAAAGTTATCTTGGATTCTTCCATCCAGTTTTGGTCTGGTGCTCCTTTGTGAAACATGGCAGTCTCTAACATGGAACCATAGAAATACATCGACTGCTATGGAAGTAGACAGATTTACAAGATAGAGACTGACAGATTACACCATACATTACAATGAGAATAACTTTACTGGACAACAGAAGACAAAAATGTATAATGAATAATCAAATACATCAACCATAGTTTATCCCAGGGATAAAGAAATAGATTCCATTTGATTTTCACTAACCCTTAAAGTATACGGTGCCTAGGGCTGTAAGACCAACATCTCTTCATGGCTTGCTCTGCCCAGGAGGTATGGTGTTGGTGCAAGGGGTTCTCTTCTAAATCCATAATCTTTTCAGTTAGGACTGAGTTTATTGGGAGAGAAGGCTGCTGTTCATCATCATACATCATAACACTATATTCATTGTAACCTAGACTGAGTTCACATTCTATTTCAGAAGAGATCTGCTTATCCCAGATACGCTGGATATAGCATTTCCTCTGCTATGTCCAGTAATAGAGAAGTCACTCATTTTTCATCTGCTGGCTGTTGAAGGCATTAAAGCTGTCCAGAAAATGTTCATTGAACTGGCTTCTGAGGTCTTCAGGAACACAATCGGAACATTTGTAATTTTCTTTCACCCATCTGCCTCCTTCACTGTCTTCAATACAAATGGTGGCAACACCTTAAGAAAATGACACCAAATACAGGATGAGGGACAATTATCAAGCATGGTGCATCAAAATTAGATTTACATCCATTGCAAATCAGACTGCCTATGGTTTAACAAAGTATATGCAAAACAGAGAGACTAACAAAACCCAGGGTTAGGGACTGATGTGAACGAACAATATATATGTAAAGAGCTCCGTAAATTGACAAGTACCTGAAATAAATAAACCAAGGGAGATCTTTATCACTTCTGCTGCATATACAAAGCAGTGCAAAGGAAGAGATGCTCAGTAGGAGATATACGGTAGGCTTGATGCCATTACATAACATTGACACTCTCCATGTTTAAAATTACTGTAGGTAGGCTTTAAAAAAAGGGCTGATTAAGGAACACTGCAGCACATCACACATCTACTGATGATAAAAACAAACTAAATAATTTCCTTGCGCTAGTAAAAACAGAAAATAAAGACTGCTGCATCCACTACACAATATAGACACTAGATGTAAAATAACTACTTGGAAAAAAAAAAAAAAAAAAAGGGGGTGCACTGTCTCTTAAAAATTCCAAAGTGCAATTGTGCATACAATATCAACCATTTTATTATAGAGAAAATAGATAATGTGAGCAATAACATCACAATATAACATCATATATGCAATAACATCACAAATAAGGTTGTGCCAAAACACCATACTCAACATCAGTGGCATCCTAAGGCAGGTGTGGGGGGTGCGAGCCGCACCGGGTGACACCTACCGCACAGGGTGACACCGGGCCCGCTCCACGAAAAGGTCAGTTGTAAAGCAAGCCGACGACCCTGCGGATTTGGGAGCATAATGGATTGGACTCCCTCCCATTATGCTCAATCTGCAGATCCGATCCATTCTGCAGGGATCGTCGGAGGGGGTGTCACCAAGTGTTATCGCACCTAGGGATGCCCCTGCTTAACATTTTTAAAAAAAAATTATATAAAGTAAATAAAAAATAAAACTAGAAGAGTATATATATCCATACAGATGGACACATGTGTATGGACAATAAGCTAGATGCCGAAATATGTAAAAAAAAAAAACAAAAAAAAAAAAAAAAAAAAACACGCAAACTTAAAAAAGGTGTATGTGATATAACCCAGTACTCCACTCTCAAAATATGCGTACAGATGGACAAAAGTTAAATGAACAAGCATATATATATTGCAAACAAAGTTGAAGATGAATAAAGCAACCAAAATGTGCAAAATGTCTCTACAGATGAATAAATATCCTGGTGAACAGTCCAAAATCAAGATGTAAAATCCCAAAAGAAAAAGGGTAAGATGGAGAGAGCATTCAGTGCTTCAGGAATACAGGGTGCCAGGCAATCACACCACCCACATCTAAAGTGAACTCCTTACCAGAGACACTGATACCACATAGAGATCATTAAGCACCTTGCTGTCCCAAAGCACAAAATAGCCAGACACACCACTCCAAATGGAGTGCTCAACAGGATTTTTTTTTTCATCTGTATGAACATTTTGGTTGGTTTATCCATCTTCAACTTTGTTTGCAATATATATGCTTGTTCAGTTAACTTTTGTCCATATGTACATTTGTCCATCTGTACACATATACACTTTTATAATATTTTTTTTCCATTTTGAGAGTGGTGTACTGGGTTATATCACATACACCTTTTTAAGTTTGCATGTTTGACATATTTAGGCATCTAGCTTATTATTGTCCATACACACATTTGTCCATCTGTATGCATACTCTATTTTAAATTATTTATTTATTTTTTGAAAGTTGAGTATGGTGCTTTGGCACAACATTATTTGTGATGTTACCTTTATATTTTTAGGTTATTGCATATATTGAGCGAACATTATCTATTTTCTCTATAATAGGATTTGATATTTTTAATAGACCGTGTACCCCCTTTTTTTTCCCCCCAAAGTACCTACTGATAATAACTTGTACAAACGTAAAGTGCTACCCCTGTAGGAGCCACTAGAAAGATACTCAGGGTTCTTTTCTCAGTAGGTGCCCCACAGCCAGACACACAGTCACTTCTTTGGCTCAAGGAACAGTCCAGGGGTATTCTTTTTAGTGTTTTTATTTTTGGGTAACTTGGATAGGGATGTGGAACTGAGTGGAATGTGCAAATGGGAGGTCTATAGAACTATGAGCCAAGTCCTTGCACAAGTAAAAGAGTGGACTAAGTGTGGCCATACATTATACAGTTTACTTTTACATTTACCAAATCCACATTAAATGAGGTCAAACCTAAAAACATTTTCAGTTTGTATGCAATCAGTCAGGCCTTTGTAAATCTAAAGAAAATTGAGCAAGAAAATGTATAATGTATGGCCAGCTTAAATGTTGTAACACTAGTTTGAGGAGATTAATCTTCTGCTCTGGACTATCCAAGCAAAGTACTTTCACTAAGAATTAAATAGACTGAGCTCATACCACTGGATACTTTGTCCCCTTTAAATACCCAGCTGACTAACACCAGAGGGGTGGAAACGGCACACAGTCTAGAAGATCTCTTAACTGTGTATATTTACAAATGTCTTCAGACAATTGGCTTCCTCCTTCCAATGCTTTCCAGACACCTTTTCCCTGTGATATGAAATTAGCTCCACAATCTGTACCCCCCCCCCCCCCAGTTGGAATTGTGATGATCAGCAAACACATGGCAGATGATCTCTTCCTCAGGGACAGTACAATTTTCTAGGTTTCAAACCATTTCTACACTTTCCCAGCAGCCATATGTGCCCTTTTTTTCCCCCACAGGGATTGGCTGAGACAGTATATATATATTTGTGCTACTCATTTGCCTTACTCCACACCATATCCATGTTCCAGAACCATCCAGAGAGTTCTGGATTGCTGGAGGAGCAATCAAACCTGCAACCTGTGAAAAAGAACAGACTTAATCACAAGTAGCTACACTGATTACAGTAAGCCAAAACTAAATTTTACCGAAGAATGCACTCCACTGGATACACTGAGCCAGAACTAACGTTACCTAATCCTAGCACATATCTAGGAGGATGCTACATATGGTTTACTATTCCTCTATTTCAATATAACTGTACCAGTCAGGCTTTAATTGTTTTAAAGACATTCAGACCCATCTCCTAGAAAACAAAAATCTTCCCTTGCACTGGGACTGCCCCCTCACTGGAAGGGTTAAATGCTCATTTACTTCCAGGGTACTAGAAACAGCCCTTTTACTTACCTGATCATCCACCCCCCCAGCAGTCAGAGTTCACCTATTCTCCCCTACACTCAGGAAGTGGACTGCCCCTCAACATACTCAAGTTCAGTGTAGCACTATGGACCCTGCATTGTACCCAAGTATGTCAGAGGACCTAGCACTGCTAGAGTGGAGGAGAAAAAAAAAATGTAGGGACTGGTCTAGCAGCACGGAAGGAGCCTGTGGGAGTGGTGGATTGGATAAGTAAAAGTGCTTTTTCCAGTCCCATAGTCCTAAACAAGCATATAAACTTTGCCATGGATACAATTATATTTCAGCCTTTGATGATCAGGGAAAAGGAGTGATGGCAATGACAAATATATATCTGCAGAAGCAGGGACGGACTGACCATTTGGAAACTTGGGCACTGCCCGAGGGCCCGGGGTCAGTAGGGGGCCCCATGAGATGCCCCTGGTACCTTTTTCATAGGCTTTTTTGAGTTTGGGCAAAGACACGGGCCCCATGATTCACTATTGCCCGGGGGCCCCATGAGTTGTCAGTCCACCCCTGTGCAGAAGGAAAAATCCACCAATCTGTAGATTTAATGTGTAGTACCCTCCTAGATAGCTAGGGGGAAACTAGAGTTGTTAGTCAAAAAGGGCTGTGTAGCAGCCCAGGTTTAATAGTCAGGGGGTCAAATTTCAGTCAGAGGTTGAGAGGCTCTGCAGACCAGCTTTCTGAGACACTTTGGAGAAAGTTCTAGAAGCATTTGGCGGAGGTAAGAAATTGATGGTCTGCACCCTCAAGGGATCTTGGTCAATCCCCAACAGGAGGGTTGGCAAGGAGCTAGGACAGCCCTGTTTTAGCATGTTCAGCAGCAGGAGAGTTCGGGTGAAAGATGGAGAGGAAGTGAGAGAGAGCAGGATACTGATAGGGGGCCCAGATGGAGAGAGGCTCACCTACAGGCAGAGGATCTTGGAAGGAGGAAAGCTTGGGACTTGACTGGCCCTCAGAGTGAAGACTATCTATTCAGCAGAAAAGGAGTGGCCCAGCAGAAGGCATGAGAGCAGCCACCGACCCAACTGCAGCATAAGAGAAGGATTGAGTGAGTAGACCTGCGCCCCCTGGGCCAGTAAGGGGAAGGAGCACTCTGGTAGGAAACTGGATTAGCTGCTATCCGGGTCCGTTTCACACTGTAGTGGCAGGCACTAAATCCCCTGCCCAGGGATTCACCTAGTACAGCTGGATGAGGAGAGGATTCATTTAGGGTCTGGAGTGGTACACCAGGGAGATGCTGGCTAGCTCTCCAGAAGAGAATTTTTGCTGTCTGAAGAGTCTTGTATATAGTTACACGGAGGCTTTCCTCAGTTGCCATTCCCTTTTTCGCATCCCGTACAGCCCTTACCCCATCCAAGTTCTAATTCCCCTAATAAAATACAGAAAAAGAAACACTTAAAGAGTGGTTACTGTCTTTTTGGATGCAAGTCTGAATCGGAAAATGTGTGTTGCCTGGCTGTGCAGGACTCTGTAGGAGGACCCAAATTTCTAGAGACTCCTAAGGGGGTAGTGCTACAAATACAAAAGAAATATGACATAACATTCATGTGAAAAATGTGTATAAAACAGCATTACAGTGATAACTCATATGCGATTACTGAAAATACTCTATAGTTCCCTGTAAGACCTTTATACTAATGTACAAAAGACCGTGTACAAACCCTGTTTCCATGGCATTACTGGTGCAGCATTGGATTAGTCAAACGTAACACATTGTACTTTGCTATTATCCAGGAAACAATACCTTTTATAAGTCATGTATTTGTGTAAGTAGTAGTTATACATATCATATTTTCTCTTACCTGCAACAATCCCACCTTGTTCTTCCACCAATTTTATAGCAGCCTTCATAGTTCCTCCAGTTTCAATCCATTGGTCTACCAGCAGAATACGTAGACCTAATACAGCCAAATGCAAATACTCATTATGTATTACAGACCGATTCTGAAGTTAAAAAAAGTCATTGTAAATTGAAATCTACTAATAACACATTTTAACATTCTGACTCATTTCCAGAAGAATTTTTTCAGGCTTGTTCACTTTATTTTAATGAATTCATTCCTGTCCCAGAGTACTGTATACTCATAGTATGGGGAAAGTCTAGGTGAAGTACAGAACTGATGACTGGTCAGGGCTAATAATACTACTACTGCATCATATTTCAGTGCAGAATAGGAAATTATGGGCACATTGTATTTCTGGCAGGATCTACTGGGGTTTTTTTTACTTGCAGTTTAACGAGACAAAACATGACGACATGTGTAAGTGTTGGAAAGGTGTACAGAATAATGTAAATCTATTGATTAAAAATAATATTCATTTTAGACTACTACAACTTACCTGGTTTGATGGCATCTGTCCGAACCTCTGCATTTTTTTCCCTGCCAGAATAGTCCACATATGATTGATTATGTGTCTTCACACAAAGATGGCCTGCTTTCCTGATTGCTAGGAATCCTTTCTTTAAGTGTGATGCAACAGCAGCGCCTTTTTCAGAACCAAGAGCAAGAAATCAAAAGAAACATCATAAACATGTATATATACTAGAGATGCCAATCCATTACATTAGGTTGCCATTGGAACCGGACATATGTAGATGTGTTTCGTTTCTCCTCCTGAAAGTCTTGGATATGCCCTTGAGGAGGGGCAAAACGCGCCGATGTATTTCCAGTTCCGATGGATGCGTAGTGACGCCATGTCTGGCGAGTGGAGCGCACGTTGGTTTGCGGCGCTCCGGAGTGGCTTTCTGCTTTTCTCATTAAGGGGAGATTGTAATTCCGTACTACCTACTGCCAGTCCACTTTTACAAAGAAGGATTTCTCATGGATTTGAGCCATAAGTATGAGCCTTTAAGCGTGAACACAATTTATATCATGTGAGTGCATTAAGGGCAGCATTTTTTTTTTTTTTTTTAGAATAAAGAGTTTTTATACAGTATTGCACTATTTGTGTTCTTTGTTTTTCATTGCCATCTAAACGTGGGAATTGTTTTTGGAGGATATAAAGTGCAGATGTATCTGGGGAGGATACACCCAGTCTTTAGAGCTTGTTTGACTCTTTAGCCATACCAGCAAAGAGTCCACTCCATCTATTGAGTGGGGATTGGATTGTCAATCACGGATGGTGTGAGCACTTTTGAAGATTTTGTTGAGCACTATTTCTGGGATTGGAGCACATTCTTATATTTTTGGGACTTTGGGCTTTTTACACATTTATATATATTTTTGGCACTGTCAAGTGTTTATATTTACATTTGATTGCTTTTTTTCCCTTTCATGAGCAGCAGCATTTATATATATATATATATATATATATATATATATATAATTTTTTTTCTTTGGCACAGGTTTTTTTTTTTTTTTTTATTTTTTTTATTTTTTTTTTTTTAGCAAAAACGCTTCAAAAACTCCTCAATGTGAAAGTAGCCTTAGCTTGTATGTCCAGCCCTTTTTTTGTTGTTGTAGTTAGAATAGTGAAGGATTAGAACATCTGCTAGGTTTTTACTGCTCTATTAGTAGGTACAGAGGGGAGGATAAGTCACCATTAGCAAACACAGACAAAAATAAAACTTTTTAGTAGAGTAGGGGGAAGGCTAGGACATCTGTCACCTGTTTTTCTGTCTTTGTTCTTGTTTCAGATGTTGATGCACTCCCTGCCAGGGTTACTGCAGACAGATATAGTATATACCTCCATTTAAACCATTTAGAAAAGCTGTCATGTTACATCCACACAGGCCTGCTTGTGACTGCCTGCCTATATGCATCTGCTGGCCTTGAGTAGACTAAAACCTAAAACACTACAATATCTTTAACATGTTCTGTGATACACACCTAATATGAAACCCATGGCATCAATCCCTGCAACAAGATCAATTTGGTCATTCTTAAAGGGCTGCAGCAGATCTTCAATGCAGTCTTGCAGTGCCTGAAGAAAGAAGAAAAATAATTCACATATGGGTTGTCATGTTTTATTATAATATTGCAATCCTTTATCAGTGTGAAGGTCTAAAACAAATACGCCAGGTGTGTGTAATATAGTTTTATCTGTAAATTACAAATTGTTAACTACTGTGCAGCCAGAAAGATTTTTTAGATTTAGAAAGGGTATGGTAAAAGAGACCCAGGAAGGCTCATATATACATTCGGATTTGGAACTGGATAAAAAGGATCCTTAAAAATAAAATTTATATCATTGCATAGCCAGTTATGATGGATCTCCTTAGCAAATTCTCCCTAGCTTTCAGCACGGTCTCACTTTGAATGACAATTGCACGGTCATGCAGCACTGTACACACAAAAAAAACAAAAAAAAAAAAAAAACACACAAATAGAGCTCTTTTGGTGACATTTAATCACCACTGTGTTTTTTTTTTTTGCAAAAGAAAAAAGAAAAAAAAAAGACCAAAAATTTTTTGGGAAAAAGAAATTTTTCTTCATTATAAAAATTTGCAAATAAATAATCTTTCTTCATAAAATTTAGGTCGAAATGTATTCCGATACATTTCTTTGGTGAAAATAACCCAAAACAGTGTTGGGTGAGTGTTGGGGGCTGGGTGAGGATGCAGGAGGAGTTATCTGGGAGAGAATGCAGGGGAAGAACTCATGCAGGAGTGGGTAAGAGGACAGAGGGGGTGGTGGGTAGAGTCCTTCCTTACATTAGATACCCCCAGAGTCCCCTTTACATCTGGTGTCCCCATCAGTGTGCCTCCGTACATCAGGTGTCCCCATCAGAGTGCCTCCTTACATCAGGTGTGCCCATCAGAGTGCCTCCTTACATCAGGTGTGCCTATCAGAACCCCAACCCCACAGTCCCCACTTAAAATAATCTGCCTCCAGGTGTCCCTCCACACATCATAGCTGTCCTCTTTCCCCCTGTACTGACAGATCATAAACTGAAGGCAGCTTCTCCTTTCCTTCTCCACATTATGTGATAAGTCACAAGGGGAGAGAGGAAGGAGGACAGACTGTATTCACTCCCCTGCAGTGCCAAGGTGAGACTGAGGGGAATTCTCAGTCTCAGCACCAGCTCTCTATTGCCCCCCTGCAGGCTGCCCCTTGCCGCCTAATCCTCTCTCCAGCTATATTAGGGAGCCACAGTCCAGTCTGAATAATGTGTCCGGATTTCAGGTGGACTGAAAACCAGACACATGATTCAAAGCCCAGACTGTCTGGGTGAATCCTTGACAGGTGGCAGCCTTACAATCAGCCGGTTGGGTGAAGTAGCTGTCAATAGCAGCCATTGTATATAAAAGGGACATGTGCTCCAATGGTACATTAAGTAAGAGGTTCTTGAGAAAGGGGGTCCCTACATCCCTGAAACGTTGGTTTTTCGAAGCATAGGGGCCATCCACCCACTGGGCATCCCAAGCTTCGGCATATATGCTCTTTTTTAACTGCAGATGAAAAATCTCATCCAGGGGCAGACTGACAACTCATGGGGCCCCCGGGCAATAGGAAATCATGGGGCCCCTGTGTCTTTGCCCAAACTCAAAAAAGCCTATGGGGAAAAAAAAAAAAAAAAAAAAAAAAAAAAAAAAAAAGGAGGAGGAGAGGAGGAGGAGGAAGGAGGAAGGGAGGAGGGAGGAGGAGGAGGAGGGAGGAGGGAGGAGTACCAGGGGCATCTCATGGGGCCCCCTACTGACCCCGGGCCCTCGGGCAGTGCCCGAGTTTCCAAATGGTCAGTCCGCCCCTGATCTCATCCAACAGTGCTGCCCACACTGACTTATGTATATTCTGAGAGAAAGTTCCTGTTGCTGTCAGAATAAACAGGTCGGTGCTGCAGTTGAATGGCATTCCTGCAAAGAAAACAGCAATGGTTAACAATAAAAACAGTAAAATTGTAACAGTAATGATGACAAACAAAAAAAAAACAACTATTTTTGGTTTTTAAAACTTTAACATTTTTAAAATAGATTGTAGGGTCTTTCCAAATGTGCTAGCCAGTTTCCTGACTACCCAACATCTTTTGAGACCCTGTGTAATTATGTACCCTGAACTGTGCCGTGCTGTACCCTATATTAATACTCCACTAGTGTATGGTAGTGACAGAAGCAAAAGTCGTTAAGGTTATAGTCGTGGACACAGAGGGGCTTCTCAACAACACCAGCTTCCATGGCAATTTGGATGGTCGCATCTGCGTGAATGGAAGACAGGATGAAAACATCCCGTTTGTCCTTCCACTTCACTGCGAGCAATTCCTCATTTCTCAAGCAGTCTTTTTTCCCCTAAGATGGGCATTTACAAGCTGTTGGGGGAAGCCCCGGCGATTAGGTCGCACAGTGCCAAGTGTGCCAATTCCAAAATTTTACAAATGTCTGAATAGTGGCACGCTTGAATAAAAATTGCCCACGTATAAGTGGTAGCCCATATGGAAAAAGGATGACACCAAGTCCCAAACTATCTTGCCACTACTTCCCATGTAGTCTGGGCATCTGGGGGGCTCCACATGACTATCTTTTCCCTTGTAAATCCGAAACATATGTATAGCCTCCCACAGGTCTTCTACAGCTTGACCCCATATCTGGCATGCTTGCTGGGGAGAAAATTGTTTGAGTGCAAGGCGGCCAGAAAAATGAATGAGGGACTACTGACACTGCACTTGCTGGGGGAGAGGGGTAAGCATAGGGGCTAACCGCGCAGGTTCCAGGGCTGATCCCGATAACGCTGCCTTTTTAGGGATGCTATTCTAATGTGAACGCTGGTATAGTGCTGATCTGATCAAAAGATATTGATCCATTCAGACACTATACTAGCAATGGAGGTTTATGGTGTATGTGAGCGTGCTCCTGGCAATCAAGGGGTTAAATGTGATTACTGGTGTACTGACAGCCAATCTGACACTATCTGGGAGGGGCGCTGACGCCAACGCTATCTGAAGTCACTGGTGACACTAACACAGTGATCAGTTTATTAATCAGAGAGAAGATTTCATCACTTCCTGTACCTGTGCAACTGGAAATTCAGGTACAGGAAGATCCCTGATAGGACACGGATCGATCATCACTGGCCTAAATCGGATGATTGATCCCTCGGGGATCAAATTACGGCACCAGTGGGTCGGTGTGCACCCCCCTGGCCCACAAAAGTGTGAATTACATATATATATATATATTTTACAGTTGTGTTAAAAATAATAGCAGTGTGTTGAAAAAAAAGTGAATAAAGCTCAAAATCCTTCTAATAGCTTTTATTTCCATACACACAAATGCATTGGGAACACTACACATTCTATTCCAAATCAAAACATGAAGAAAAATATATCAAATTTGTGTGTACCTCTAAAAAAAAAATTGAAGAAAAGTGAATATTAGACTGTTCAAAAAAATAGCAGTGTTTGTATTCTTCTTTACAAACTCAAACATACACTATATAAAACGGAAAATTTTTTGAAGATTTTGCTTTCCTTTGAATCACTTAATGAATATTTAGTTGTATAAGCACTGTTTCTGAGAACTGCTGTACATCTGTGTTGCATGGAGTCAGCCAACTTCTGGCACCTGTGAACAGGTATTTAAGCCCAGGATGATTGGACTACATTCCACAGTTCTTCTCTATTTCTTAGTTTTGCCTCAGAAACTGCATTTTTGATGTCACCCCACATGTTTTCTATTGGATTAAGATCCGGGGATTGGGCTGGCCACTCCATAACATGTCAATCTTGTTGGTCTGGAACCAAGATGTTGCACGTTTACTGGTGTGTTTGGGGTCATTGTCTTGTTGGAACACCCATTTCAAGGGAATTTCCTCTTCTGCATAAGGCAGCATGACCTCTTCAAGTATTCTGATGTATTCAAACTGATCCATGATCCCTGGTATGCGATAAATAGGCCCAACACCGTAGTATGAGAAACATCCCCATATCATGATGCTTGCGCAACCATGCTTCACTGTATTCACAGTGTACGGTGGCTTGAATTCAGTGTTTGGGGGTCGTCTGACAAACTGACTTCGGCCACTAGACCCAAAAAGAACAATCTTACTTTCATCAGTCCACAAAATGTTGCGCCATTTCTCTTTAGGCCAGTCAATGTGCTCTTTGGCAAATTGAAACCTCTTCAGCACATGTCTTTTTTCAACAGTGGGACTTTGCGGGGGCTTCTTGCAGATAGCTTGGCTTCACATAGGCGTCTTCTAATTGTAACAGTACTCACAGGTAACTTACACCTTCTTTGATCTTCCTGGAGCTGATTGTTGGCTGAGTCCTTGCCATTTTGGCTATTCTTCTATCCATTCGAATGGTAGTTTTTTGTTTTCTTCCACGTCTTTCAGGTTTTGGTTGCCATTTTAAAGCATTTGCGATCATTTTAGCTGAGCAGCCTATCATTTTCTGCACTTCTTTATATGTTTTCCCCTCTCCAATCAACTTTTTAATCAAGGTACGCTGTTCTTCTGAACAATGTCTGGAACGACCCATTTTCCTCAAAATTTCAGAGAGAAATGCACTGTAACCAGCATGAACAACATTTGCTGCCTTCCTTCCTTAAATAAGGGCAATAATTGCCACCTGTTTTTCAAAGAATGAATGACCTCACTAATAGAACTCCACACTGCTATTATTTTGAACATGCCCCTTTCAATTAGTGATTCAATTACACAGAATCAGCAGCATGCATGTCATGACTGTTGGGTCTGTTGGATTTCTATTACTCTACTACACCTGCTAGTAAATTATTTGCCATGTAGAAATATCATTACTACCAAAAACAGTGATTGATCAGGTTAGTGATGTCTGACTGCTATTATTTTGAACACAAATAAATTAATATAAATATATATATACATACATATATATATATATACACACACACACACACACACACACATACACACATACATATATACTGGGGCAAAATATAAGTATTTACACACAGTGGGGCAAAAAAGTATTTAGTCAGCCACCAATTGTGCAAGTTCTCCCACTTAAAA